AACTCACTTATATATTTAATTTCATAAACATATACACAATTTAACAAGTAAAAGCCTTGTTATATATTTATATTGAAACTAATACATATAAAATATAACGTTATCTCCCGTGTCACGTGAGTTACGTGACCGCCGTGGAAGCCGCGGACACGTGATGCAAGTCTGTTCCATTTAACCATTTTCTTTGACCATGGAAGGACAGTGTCCTCGTAAGCAAGGCACCTGGCCTCACAAGACATCGCCTCGCAAGGCCAGGCACCTTGACATTGAGAAACACCCCATGTATGTCTCGGTTGTATCCTACAAATCCGAGACTCTATCCGGTCTGACTTCTCTGCTGTGCTCCCCTAGTGGAACACTCCAGTACTACGTGAAGTGCAGCAGCAAATCTGTGAACAGGCCGCAGCCCGCTGCCTGTGTCAACACAAGGTTAGAAAGCAGGTATATTCCAGGCTTTAGGGTTAACGTCAAGGTAATCTGCCAATTATAGAGATGCTTTCAGACCAGTGGAACCTCTCCACATTTCTTTGACTTGCTGCAAATACTTTCAGGTAAATGCAAAAAGAGGACAGCAACCTAAATCTTGAGGCATCAGAGTGATCACTAAAGGCATTGGTTTTCCTATTTTTCGTCTTATTGGCCATGACATACAGAAAGTCCAGGTGTGAACATGTATGTAATGTAGAAAGTCCATGTGTCTCATGGTGTTGCTGCGCTACGCTTGATTAGCCCTAATCTACGCAGGAGTCGGGTTGCCGTGTCAGTGGCGTGTGTGTATGGAAGGCATGCGGGCTGCGGATCACAGGGATTGACCCCCTGCCTCTCACGTTAACAGAAGCCCCTCCGAGCCATGGCGAAACTCACTAAAACCTCCGAGCTGTTGGACGGAGAACAAGAATTTGGAGCATCAGAGGAGGAACAATCAATGTGCAGAATATTCTGGCCGTCGCAGTGAGAAGGAAGTGTGTGTGTGTGTGTGTGTGTGTGTGTGTGTGTGTGTGTGTGTGTGTCTGTGTGTGTGTAAGAAGCCTAGTTGAACTTTGGCTCTGGCTGTAGCGTCTCTCATAAAACGTAACACGGTCCGGCTGTAAACCTGATACCAGAGAAGGATAAGAAGCAGAAGAAGTAGCAAGCTGTTTGCTAGCTTGTTGTTGGTTTGATAAAAAAAACCACAGCAGCATGGGTGTGTGAGCCGCTGGCTTAAGTTGTCTGTTAGTGTGGCTGTAATGGTGTGTGTGTGTGTGTTTGGGAAGTTTCAGGATCAAACTCTCATGTCGACATGCTGAGAGTCGAAGAGACGACCGCTGACAGGTGCTTCCTGCAGCAGTGCAGCAGGTGCTTCCAACACACACACACACACACACACACACACACACACACACAGAGAGAGAGAGAGAGAGAGAAACGTTGCCAGCAAGACATGATTGTGTGTGTACTAACACACACTTTTACACCCCCCATCCCTTCCATCTATTCCCCGCTGACACACTGACGTTCTGAGCTACAGGCTAAACTTAACTCTTATGGCCTCTGTGAGTGTGAGTGTGTGTGTGTGTGTGTGTGTGTGTGTGTGTGTGTGTGTGTGTGTGTGTGTGTGTGTGTGTGTGTGTGTGTGTGTGTGCGTTTCTTGCTGAAAACTGTCTCAAAAGTCTTCACCTTGTCTGTTTTTATAAAATAATTTAGTATAGATCTTCATTAGCTAATCATGTAATTTATTCAGTTGACGTTTCCACTTTTTGATGAAACGTCTGTAACAATAATCCTTATCCTACTATAAACCGAAACTGGAATATCATTTGTACGTTCGGCTGAATGAAACCTTTTTGAAAGTGTGTTTTGGTTTGTTAATGTTCTGTTTTTGCAGAAAGTCCAGCATCGCCTTCAGCAGCTGCTTGCAAGTAAACGTCCTGCTGAGTGAAGGGAAAGCGATCCAAAGCTTAATCATTTGGACAGAAACAACTGAACATTAGACCGTTTTTAAAGGCTTGTTTCAGACGTCCACCACAGCACGAAAATGCTGAATATTCTTAAAAAAAGAACATTTACTTTGCGTAACACAGAAGAAAAAGGAAACAATGCCTTAATAGAATTTTATGATTATGATGATGGAGATGATGAGGATGCTGATGATGATGATTTATCGAATTCTAGGGTGTAAAAGAAAACAAGGATCTGTGTCTAAAACCCGTCTAGGAGCATAAAACCTCCACAGAGGGAAATTACTGACAAGCTCATCTTTTTCTGACCCTAAATTTGACAAATTTGGAATGAAATGCCATTTTCTGGTTATTGACTAGGAAGACTGGGATGAAGTTACACTGAAAAGTAAAGAACGTTACAACAGCAGCACGGAGGTCTAAAGAAGATATGTTGTTGATAAAAGACGTCTAATCAAAATGAATCAGGAATCAACAAAAGAAAACATTTAAATATAAAACAATAAAAGCCTGCAGCTCACGAACAATAAAATAAACTGATGATAACTGAACACAGATATTTAAATAATATTATTACTGCAGTTGTTTCTGTGTGACAAGCTGCATATAGCAAAAGTGTGAAACTAAAACGTGTGTGTGTGTGTGTGTGTGTGTGTGTGTGTGTGTGTGTGTGTGTGTGTGTGTGTGTGTGTGTGTGTGTGTGTGTGTGTTTAGCTGTTTTACTAACATAAAATACAGATTTTATAAATCAAAGGCAAAAAACCGGAAGCAAAAATGTGATAAATCTTTGTTTTCAGAGTATTTTGTAATACTACACGGTGTTACACATTATATAGAAGTATGAAAACTTTAATACTGTGTAACATACGTTCTTGTTTATTTTCTGCATGTAAACACATTCTGATGAGGAGCGTTTTAGTCCGAAGATAGTTTGTGTTACAAAGTCAAAGCTGAGTTTATGTAGATTTTTACTTAGTTACTGTAAAAAAGTTTTATTTTAGCAAGACGTTTTCTGAAATGCTTTCTAACGCAGACGTTTTTAAACTGCTGAGTTAGTTTGACATCAGCCAGATAAATGGACATGGAATTCTGGTAAATAAACATTAACCCTGAGGTTTGAATTGAGAATGTAGTTGTGATTGTTTTATTTGAGGAAAAATACAATTACTTGCTGACTGTAATTATTCACTTTGACTCATTTCTGCTCACATCGGACAGACCTTTGCAGACCAAAATGAATAAAATAAAACGAGGAGCAGAACATTTTCAGCAAAAGGCCGACATGAACATTTCCACTCTGTAATTAACAGAAAAAAACAAACCAAACTGTCTGTAAAAATGTCCTAAAACTTTATTCATGAATTGACTACATATTTAATACATTTAATAATTTATATTAGAGGCATAAAAATCCTGTAATTGTTGCTCCTGGCCTATTTTTGATAAGTCAACATGTGACATTTTGAATAATGAGAATTTTCTTTAAATATCTTTGTGCGTTGAGGTTAGTAAAACATTTTACGTAAATGTGAAGTTTTCGTACGAAGGGACTGATCTGAATTTTTCGAGACCTCTGCTAGACCCCCCCAACCCCCATCACTCAGCGAGTCTATTTTCCTCTTTTTATTTTCAATCACAGGCTTCAACACAGCGGCTCAGCGACACAGGAGCCGCCAAAACAAAACGGCTGCTCAACACATGCGAGCTCGTCCACCTGTCCCTCTGCACCCCTGCCTCCGTTCCCTCGAGCCATGACGCCATCTCTGCCAACTGAGACGGGAGTCACGACGATGGGTCAGAGGGATGCTTTTTAGATCTGTATCTGGTCTCGAGCATTCCTCTTTGGGTAGAAAACCGGGCTGGAGTTGTTTTGGTCTCAGCTGCTCATTAAGGAACAGAAATCTCCCTTATAGTGAAACAGTGTGAAAAAAATGCAAAACAATGACGAATAACCAGAAGAATCAGAAAGAAGAAGCTTCTGGCCGACCAATTATTTTACATCAAGCTACACTAAGATAAAAAAATGTATACAATAGAAATCCAAAAGCTTAAAACTTTATTTGTTCTCATCCGAGCCACGGTGAACCTGCAAATTCTTTTCCTACAATTTAATGCTCCACATCTTTTCAGGTATTTTATTTTCTAAATTTCTTCTTTAAATGATTAAAATTCGAACACTCGTATTAAATATCTCTGTTACTGTTGGTGGAAAACTTTACCATGACTCTTCCAGAGCTCAGTGAGTGATAATTCTCTAAGAATCATAGCTGGAAAGTCAAACAGATGTTTGAAGACCAAATTCATTCATTTTGTCAACACATTTCTAGCATAAACGAATGTCTTAGGACAGGCGTGGGGAACCCTGCTGCAACACTTCTGATTCAGTGGTTGATTCACCTGTTCTGCAGCTCATCAGGCTCTGCAGAAGCCTGTTAATCACCTGCTGATTGAAATCAGGTGTGTTGAAGCAGGGTTGGAACTAAAGTATGCTGTACAGTGGCCCTCGATGGACCAGGGTTCACCACCCCTGCCTTGTGAGTTGAACTTTGTTAGAAAAAGGCTCTGGCGCTCCTGTTTCAGGAAGTAGACGTTGATCAGAGGAGAGGGGAGCGGAACACGGCAGGATCTGGAGTCTTATTTCCTGATATTCTGACATCACTCCTCTGATTGGCTAACAGCCACATGACTCTACCACTGACTCAATTTGATATCTGACATTGATGTTTTATCTCCACAAATAACACAATCCTGGAGGAGTTCTGCTGTGTTGCTGATGCTAACAGTTAGCTTTTATTAACCAAGACGAACTCTGCGCTCTCCTGGACCCTAAAACAAAAACAACAACAGTCCATAAATGTTAATTTAACATTATGACATGCAGATTTCACAGGCTTTTATAATCCGACAGCTTCCTCGTCTATTTTCAATCAGCTGCTAATGCAGAAAAAAAGCAGCAGAAGACAATTTTCACATTTAGCCTGCATGTTAAACTGAGAGTGACCGATCAAATTTCAAAACCAGGATTTTTCCTCTAAAACTTTCAAAAATGTAAGAAAATTCTGCCCCCCCCCCCCCCCAAAAGAAAGTCTGTCTTAGATGAGAGTTGTCCTTAAATATTTTCTTCTTGTGGTTGGTTTTAATTATTTTGGGGGGTCTGGAGTGGAACACACCAGCGTGGGGGTAGTAGAAGGGGGTGTTTCTGTGGATTTAGGGTGAAGTGACAGTTCCTGTGACTCCTCTGGGGTTCCAGTCGGACCCACATTCTCCGAGTGGCCATGGTGAGGACTGGAATCAGTCAGCAGGTGAGGGGGGACGTATCCAGCCTGGGTCTTTGTGTGCTGCCTGCCATGATGGTGGCTGCTTGGGGTTTGAGGGGGGCAGCGGCCCCTTTTGTCCTGCCCCCGGAAGCCCCTGAGTTTAGGGCTCCAATGTTCCCGCCACTGGAGGGCCAGGGTGGAGCGGTCCGCCACCAGACGGCTCTCCTCTGGGCCCCAGCCCCGCTCCCCTGCCTCAGTGCCGATCAGGAGGAACGTCCGACCCACGTGGAGGGCAGGGCAACCGCAGCTTAGGTCTCGGTCGGGGACCCAGAGGGACTGGGGCCCGCGGCGGAGACGGGAGTTGGATCCTGTTCGGAAGACAGTTTGGATGGAAATGGAAAACTGCCACCAGGGACCCGAACGCTCCATCCCCTTAACCTGCACCTTCAGCACTGACAAAACAAGCACATTTCTATATTAATTTCTAGTTCAAATTAAAGCAGCAAATATTTCTGAAGAGAAAAGTAAAATGAGAAAAATTTGACACCAACCATAATCCTTGAGACAATAAGTCTCCAGGTTCATTGTGACTTTGACCTGTGATGGCTGGCAGTAAGACACACACTCCTCCGCTACATGGAACAAGAACAGAAGCAGCAAATGAGAGTTTCATAGCACACGTCTTCTCTCTTTACTACAATATGGCTGCTTGTGGTTGCCATCATGCCATCCTCCGACAAACACAGGATCTGTTGCAGCAGGTGGGACTTTCCTCCAGCTGCCACTAGGAGGAGGTGGTTAGCTAGCCTATCTGCAGCCAGCACTCATTAATGATTTGCAGTTTTTCTCAGTTGCTAAAACAATAAAATCCGTTGACTGAAGAAAGTTCTCAGTTGCTTAAACTCAACTTTTGAGCCTGTTGTTAAAACCTTGAACCATTTCACACGGTTTAGCAAAACTCTAAACGCATTCTCATTCTTAAACACATTCTGCACTCTAATGTACATGTCATCCATAACGGTAAACACAAGTGGCACATTTACCCATAACAAGAGCACAAATGTCATTGATTGAACACAATCAGTCAAAACAGATTTCACTTGTTTCAAATGATGTGAAAACCAATAAAAGCAAGTTCAGAGAGCAAACAGGTTGTTGAAGGTGGGAATGAGGAAGTGACAACGGATAGAAAAATTCATGTGAGAGGACGAGGACAGGTGAGAGGTGGGGGATGAGGAGGAGGGCAAGAAAGAGAAAGAGGAGGATGAAGAGGAAGAGAAAGACAAAGAGTGGAAATTGAGCAACAACCATAGACCATGTTGTTGTCCGTGGGCTGACAACGAGGGAAGCAGGACATAGAGAGCAACCCAGTTTGAGCCTCAGGAGGGAAAATATTACATGTGATGTCGATGAAGTGCTGTGGCCTGACCCAGCCCACAGACAAGAAGAGGTCCATTGATGACATGTTTAGTCCTTTGATGTTTTTCATTTCATGTATTTTTTTTATTTTTTACTGTCATTGAACACTGTAGCACAACGGACTGCAGGCTGTATGTGGTACAATAAACAAAGTGTATGGCCTTTACTTTGTGCTTTCTATTTTTTGGTGTATTGTTTACTGACTGCTTGATGGTGTGTGTGTAAGTTTCAGTAATTTGTTTATGATTTGAGAGTAGTGTTTGATTTTGAGCACAGCTAAAACTGTTTTGAGGTGAAAGTTTGATTTCGCAAGAGGAATGAGAGGTTTTGTAAATCGTGCTTGAAGCTGATGGTTTTGTGTTTGATGTTTTGAGAAAAGGGAGCAAGGTTTCAGGAATTGTGCTTCAGCAACTGAGAAAAACTGCAATGTTGTCGACACTCGAGCCAAAATATAATTCATGTCTACGACAACAATATAAATCAGACAGGTGCTTCATGATCCTCACCAAACAGATGACTAAACCCAAGCATGTTTATAAGAGTCGTATCTTTAAATATGTATGAGTGTAACGTCTTTGATTTGACAAACCTGGTTTCTACTAGGGCCCCTTAACACAGATGAGCAAGAAATAACTAAAACATGCTTCTATGGTTAGGATTGGATACCCCTGAGCAATGATTGCACCTCGCTCCACACACATCCTGACACATATTTTAAACATGTTACTGTATCTAATTCAGGTCAGGGCAGGTGTCGCCATAGCCGTGTGGCCGTCGTCATCCTCGTGCATCCTCCCGTTGGATGCCTCCTCCTGTCTAGCTGGATATGTTGTCTATACACCTCATGTTCCTTCCAGCGATATGGGTGAAACTCAAAAAATTAGAGTATGTGCTAAAGCTTCTTTATTTCAGTAATTCAAGTCAACTGAAACTGATGTATAGGAGATAAACTCTTTACATGTTCACAATGTCATCATGGCTTAGAGCTGATGAAAACTCCAAATTCAAAATCTCAGACGATTAGAATGAAATCACAGTCACATGAAATCTGTAAAACAAGGCTGATAAAGTATAATCATGCGTTTGTGCTCAGCACTTGTTTTGGGCTCCTTTGGCTTTCATTGAACTAAATTAACTGTTGTACGATATTCTAATTTTAGGAGTTTCACCTGTATAGTTGTCTCTTCCAAAGGCCAACTTTAGCTTCCTTTTTCCTAGTGATGGATTGCACCAGCTTGCATCTACACACACTAAGGCTGAATTACCCAGTACTTTCAAGCCCTTTTTACAAAACACACCGCGCCGGAAAATCAGCATAAAATTACCGCAACCGTGTGTCTTATAAACGCACCGTGCCGGCATGGCCGTGCATGAATTTTGTGGCATTCGTTCCGCCTCGCTTACTAGTAATATTGTCTGTCTTGTAAATGACGATTTCAACTTGGCTCAAAAGAGGGAGGTTTCACAATCACGTTGGAGGTTGCTGCCGAGCTCCTGCCGGCAACTATATTGAACATGAAAGTAAACACAGGCCGTAAGTTTTGCTTTTTGAACTACATCAGCTGAGACGGTAAACTGAAGCGCTGCAGAGCTCCTCTCCGGGACTGTGGAGGACCCTAACCCTAATCTTTAGGAGCGGCTTGTTTAAAAATAACTTAGTTTTTCTCAAATGCTAAAACACAAAAGCCAATTCTCGAAACCAAATGACCAGTTGTCTAGACACGTTTACTAAATCTAGCCATCATTTTCCAACATCATTAAGGCATTTCACATGAAGACACAATTCATAAAACACAATCCTCCGTTCTCATAAATCTAAACACATTTTTCCTTGCTAAAACACAAGTTGCAAAATAACTCTGCTCATATTCTCAAATGAAAGCTCATGTGATGCCAAATGCTTGCCACAGTCAGCACTAATTGAACACAATGAACACACCTGTCGTCATTCATTACACACAACGACTCAAAATTGAAGACACTTGTTGCTAATGCTGTGACCACATGTATAAAAGCAAGTTCAGAGTGCACAGTTTGCTGAAGATTCCAAACAAACACAATGGATGAAGGCAGAATCAGGGGAAAAGGCATTCGAGTCAGAGGAGGGAGAAGAGCTGGCCATGGAAGAAGAGGAGCAGACCTGTAGCGTCTCTGCAAGTTGAAATGGGAGAAACGCCAATAGGACTGAGGTTTAAGAAAAATTTACTGTACTATTTGGGCTAGTATTCAAGGATGTTCACGGGATGACCATTTGGTTAAAGATGTATTGTCTTTGTATGGGGAATATGGGTTTGGGCGTGGTGATTGCGTGCTTGAGAAAGCAACCACATTAGCAGAAGGGTATAACTTAACTGGTACTGCATTTGTAAATAAGTTTTTATGTTTAGTGACTCCATATTGGCTTTTTCCTAGGTGTGATATTGACTTTTATCTTAAAAATATGATGTGTATGACTAAGGTCAAAGGTAATTGGGATAGTATTTTGAATGATAGGTTAAATAGTGTTCATAGAAATTGTATACCAGTCTTTACAGATGGATCGAAAGACTCTGTGAGTGGGAGGACGGGTTGTTCTTTCTATATTCCGGTGGTGGGTAAAGGGGTGAAAATTAGAACTCCAGATGGTATGTCAGTTTTTACAGTTGAAATGCTGGCGATTTATTTTTGTTTGGATTGGATTGAGCAGCATAGATTTAGAAATTGTATAATGTTTACGGATTCTTTATCAGTTTTGTTGGCACTTCATTCAAGAAGTAATGAAAATAGAGTTGATATTTTTCTAGAAATATTTGAATGCCTATTTCGGTTGTGTGCCTTAGGGATTGAAATAAGATTTATGTGGGTACCGGCGCACAGGGGGATAGAAGGTAATGAATTAGCAGATTATTACGCAAAGCAAGCAGTAAAGTTAGAAGTAGTGAAACCGATCCCTTTTAGCAGTAACGAAGTGAAGTCAATGATTAAGGATAGAATTATGAATGAATGGCAGGACATGTGGGTAAGGGATAAAAAGGGCCGACATTTATTTAATATACAGAACGTAGTAGGTAAAAGGTCGTTTAAGGAGTTACATAATAGGGAACAAACAATAATAACGAGATTGAGATTAGGACATTCGGGATTGAACAGCACTTTGCATATTTTGGGAAAACATCAAACAGGTTTTTGTGATTGTGGGACAGAACAGGAAATGGTAGAACATGTTTTTTGTTTTTGTAGTAAGTTTGATGTAATTAGGGGTGAATTTATGGATAGGTTGAAAGATAAAGGATGTGGCATTTGGAATTTGAGAACGTTGTTGAATGGCAGTGGGTCCAATTATAAGTTGGTGCTAGAGTTTCTTAGGAAAATTAAGGTATTTAGTAGAATTTAGTTTTTTATTAGTTTTATATATATATATATATATATATATATATATATATAGATATATATATATATAGATATATATATATATATATATATATATATAGATATATATATATAGATATATATATATAGATATATATATATAGATATATATATATAGATATATATAGATATATATATAGATATATATATAGATATAGATGTATAGATGTATATAGATATAGATGTATAGATGTATAGATATAGATAGATATAGATAGATATAGATAGATATAGATAGATATAGATAGATAGATATCGATAGATAGATATCGATAGATCGATAGATAGATAGATAGATATATAGATAGATAGATATATATATAGATAGATAGATAGATAGATAGATATATATATATATATATATATATATATATATATATATATATATATATATATATATATATATAGATATATATATAGATATATTTTTTCTCTCCTCGCTCTGACTCACACTCCTGCACAGTAGGTGGCGGTAATGCACCTTAAGTTGGTTGCCACCCGCCATTTAACCGGAAAGGAAGAAGAAGAAGAAGAAGAGGAGCAGGCCAATGAGGAAGATGAGTTCAAATCAGAGGAAGAAGAGGAGGAGGCCAACAAGGGAAGAATGTCCAGGATGGAGAGCAAGACAACCTCGCACCATCATTACGGAAGAGATGCGAGCAACAGTCATTGACCATGTCTTTGTCCATGGCACGACAATTGCAGAAGCAGGACTAAGAGTCTGTCCAAACCTGAGTAGGTTCACCATGGCCACCATTATCAGGGCATTCAGACAACACAACAGGTATTGTACTCTATTGCTTTCTTTGTCACAATACAGTTTTACAAGCCTGTGAAAGTAGTATATTGGTTTCAAATCAGTTGTTATTGTAAAACATGTCAAATGACAACACACGTTTCTTTCTTTAGAGTTGAAAGAATGCCACATTGAGGTGGGAGGGTTGCCATATTTACAGCGGCACAAGAAACTATCATTGTGGATATGGTTCGTGAGAACAACCTCATCAGACTCAGGGAGATCCGAGACAAAGTCATTGCTGATAATGTCAACTTTGAGAGCATTGATGATGTCAGCTTGGCCACAATAGACCGAGTTCTCCGGCGCCAAAAGATGCGGATGAAACGGGTCTATAGGGTTCCCTTTGAGCGCAACTCTGCGCGACACAAAGACCTACGTTACGAGTATGTGCAAGTAAGTATACATCCATGTTCACAACACAGTTAGTGGATATACTGTGTTGCTCAGTGGCCTACATTAGTTTTGGACAATACTGTGCTACCTGATTGACTGTTGTTCTGAACACCTGTGCACTTTCACATTTTCACAGAGGATATTACAGTTGGACGCAATGGCCAGACCTCATGAGTACCTCTTCCTGGATGAGGCTGGCTTCAACCTGCAGAAACGAAGGCAAAGAGGCCGTAACATCATTGGCCAAAGAGCCATCACTGAGGTTCCTGGCCAATGGGGGTGGGGGGGGGGGGGTGGGGGGTGGGGGGGTGGGGGGGTAATATTACTCTTTGTGCGGCCATGGGTTCGGAGGGGCTTGTCCACCAGCATGCTGTCCTTGGATCTTACAACACCTCCTCGCCTTCCTAAAGGAGCTTAAAGACGTCCTCCTGGGCCCGCACAACACATTTATGTGATCATTTGGGACAATGTCCGCTTCCACAGAACAAACCAAATCAGAGTGGTTCACCACCAACAGTAACCACTTTTCAAACGTCTGTCTGCCACCCTACTCCCCTTTCCTGAACCCTATAGAGGAGCTCTTCTCATCGTGGAGATGGAAGGTTTATGAAGGACAATCATACACTAGAGAGAACCTCCTAAGGGCAATGGAGCTGGCCTGTGGTGACATCCCAGTGGCGGCCTTACAAGGATCGATTCGCCATTCCAGGGCGTGTTTCCTGCGGTGCCTGGCAAGAGACAATATAGCCTGTAATGTGGATGAGGTGATGTGGCCCCATGCAGCTCAGCGACATGATGTCGCACAGTGATTGTGGTGTGTGTGTTGTGAATAAAGTAAATAAAATAAAAAATTCACACTGTTCCTGTTTTCAAGAGCACTGTTGTGTGCAATAGATTCTGTTTTTGCATTGAGTTGTGTTACAGTAGTGTACATGCAGAATTTTCTATAGATTTATACTCTTCATATGAAACTCACAAATCTAAATACCTAATCCTCTGCAGAGATCTAAGAAGATCCGTAACTGTAAAGTTTCTAAAAATGGGCAAATTGGCAGTTATGAAACAAAGAACCTTCTAACAAATTGAGCATTGTGTTTTCAATTGTTTTGCTGTAGTGTGTAATGTGTATAGTGTTTACATTTTTGAAAGCTTTGAGCTGCTCTTTTGGTGTTAAAGTATGAGTTTTGAAGTGAGAAGGTGTGGTTGTGTTTATGGTTTTAGAAAAGGGTGTTGTGTTTAGACATTGGGGAACATGGAGGAAACGTTTGTGAAATGCGTTTTAGCATTTGAGAAACTGTAACGATTGTGGCTTCCATCACAATAAAAAGCAAGTTGTCCAAGACGAACAGAAGTCCGCGGCAGCGCAGAGACCACCCCATACCTCCTTTATGCCGCCATTGCCTAATCTTTTATAAAAAGATGACATGGTTGCACCACATTCCCACCACGGTCTGACCACCTAGAAATGACCTAAGGCTCCCTAATACTGCCACGGCGTTGTGGCACATTGACGGCATTGTTTTGTAAAACCAGCTTCAGTGGAAAGCAACAATTACTGGTGTACACCTCAATGCACTTCTGTCAGAGCAAGGGTGTTGGGCAGGACTGAGAGACGGACTGATTTAAACCTATACATGCTCGGGAAAAGTAGAGGTGTGCACAGTAAGCAAAAAATACTCCAGAAGTAACATTTTAATGTTTGGTACTGAGTAATAGTCCACGCCAACCCACTTTAAGCCCTAGAGTTCTGATCACGTAGTTTTGTATGTGTTGAGGAAGAGAGTTGTCTAAATCACGCTGCATCCTGGACCATGACAACCAAGATCCGACAACATTGTACTAGACCCTTCAATGGTAAAACGATGCACCCTCAAGAAGAATATTATATCCTAGCCAGGAGCCCAATGTGTCCCTAACCCTATGATCCCGAAACGCTGCTACCGCAATAATAAAGCACCATGACATAACTATGGAGGTTTTATAATCAAAACCATTGTGGACCTGTCACCATCCACCACATGTGTGATGGACAATCCACTGTATCTTGAATCTGTGCCTGAAGACCTTGCCAAGACTCTGTGAAGACCACCCACAGTCTGGCTGACTGTGTCATAGCAAGGTCTTCATGTACTGTGACGGTAACCATAGAAGACAGCTCCAAGGTTAAGAAGGAAAATCTTTTCCAGAAGTCCTTTTGCCATCGATTCAAACTGATAGAACTCTGACTACTAAATTGTGACCCAACTAAACGCTGCATCAAACCATAGATAACTTGCACGGATGATCCAAAAACAGGAGAACTGACTCACCAATGCTGTACTGAGGTTGGTACACCGGGGTTGGAGCAACCTCCTGAATTCCTGCAAGTATAAACACACTTTCAAACAGGTGTCTGCTGCACAGTAAAACCTCAGGCTACCTACACGGGCTGTCAGTGTATTGCACTTGTGTGTTTTATAGGTGTTGTGTTTGGACGCCTCATGGTACACGGACATGCCCGCACAGAAGATAAGCAAATGTCAGGCAGGCTGAGTGTGTGATCCTTTTATGGTGTAGAAACAGGTTGGTCCAGCACAAACACAGACATAAACTTTCATTTTGGTCATTTTAATAAGGTAAAGCCTTCACTTCTTGGATGGCTTTATCTCAAACATTAAACAGACTGTAGTAAAGTTAGTCCCCTCCCCTCACTTGTACAAGTATGGAACAGAAAGGAAAATCATGACTTGGGTAGGTGTGCACAAATGATCCAGGTCTCTTGTAAAAGTGTGTGTTTGTGACAGTTTCACCTTACAAGCTGTTCATCCTGCTTCCATGTCCTGTTAGAGTTAACTGGGCCAGTGATACCAGACATAAAATACTGGGAGACGGTATATCTTTTGTATGTACTTGCACTAAAATCTTTTCAGTACTTTGCATGCAAGTGATCAAAATTAGACAATTATACTTTACTTTGTGGATCTTATAAAAGGTTCCTTTATGAATATTGAACTCTCTTAATGGCAGCGATTTACACATCAATGAAACTACAACAGATTTGTTTTTTTGTTTTTGTTTGTTTTTTGGTTTTTTGTCATCTTGAGGTTGGCACCCATTCTGGACTAAATCTAGAAACCAAAACGCTCAGACCAAGTATAGTAATCCATGCACATGGACCATTCCCTAACAATGGAAGGTTAATCCAGAAGGAACTGAAACACCCTCTAGAGGCTGGTTGCAGTACAAGTTGAATTCCTTGTCCCTCCACATAGACCTACAGTACATGACATTCAGTGGCAGTTTTACCTTTAGGCATAGTTTGGCGGCCGCCTGGGGCCCCCTTATGTTGGGGGGGGGGGGGGGGGGGGGGGCGCTAGCCCCGACTGCTGGCACCCCTCTGTTAATATCACAATGGACTATTCCTTTAAGACGCCGATGCACAAACAGAAAGAAATTGGTAGTCATTCCACTCCAACCCAGTTGGTGGCAGTAATGCATCAAATTGTTGTCTGCCAAATGCTGTAAAACCACAAATAAGAATAAGAAGAGAAAGCAGAAGAAGAAGAAGAAGAAGAAGAAGAAGAGAGGCAGGAGCGTTCGTAGCAAACTCGAAGCGATAGTCAAAACATTAAGCATGAAATGGAGTTAACCTACTGGCTCGAATAAGAGAAAGAAGCAGCTTGCTTTAAAAAGGCTTTCATCTTCACTTCCGAAAGTGACGTCGTTTTTCTATGTAAACATCAAAAGGAAGCAGAAAAGAAAGACAGTGGAAAATGTTTAAAGGGAGGAAAACATAGACCAAAATAGAAAATAGAAGAAAAGAAAAGAAAAGAAAGGCAAAAGCACAGGAGCACTGACAGGAAGAAAAAAGCAGAGCAAATATTGAAAGCGCTCAAAGGGAGGCAAAGACAGGGAAAAAAGAGGAAGACTAATAAAAAGGGAAAATAACTCATGTCAGAAGAGGGGAGAGTTTCGCAAATCCAGTTAAAGATAATATTGTCGAAAATTTCGTGTAAGGGGGCCTCGTGTCTGTGTTTGCCTTGGGCTCCCAAATTGCTAAATCCGCCCCTGCTGACATTTTTCTGAGTAAGAAAAGTAAAAATACACCACAATCTTTTTTCATCTCCAAAACAGTTATACTTGTTGACTTATGTCTGAACTTTTGCACGTTCAAGTATCAGTTTTTCCCCATACATCATAATCAATAACCTAGCAAGCAAGCTAACTTCTATTAGCTGCTTGAGTGCTAAGTTTCTCTTCTTTTAGCTGTCCATTAACTAAATGTAACAAATTGTGTCAGTATATAAAACCAAATTATAAAGATGACTAGAATTTTGTGAACTTCCAAATATGGTCAAAGTGTAAAACAGAACTTGATTTATTGTTAAGTCTATTTAGCTTGGGGCAGAATATTTTAGCTTGTCTGCTGCCTTGCTGCTGGTCTGTCGGAAAGCAGAGGATTAGAAGTGTTGGAGGTGGTGGAGGGGGCAGAAGGATTCTATACATAGCCTGTGATGGTCTGGCAGTAAAAACAAACAAGGTTTTCTTTCACTCACTCCTTTCACTGAGAGAGTTATGAGTCTCAGCCCTGCGATGGCGGCATTTTGAGCCGTGCAACAGGTGTCAAGCTGCCTACTTCTGGCTCCCTACATCACCTGATTGTGACTTACAAAGCAACACTGCCCATGTAGTTGTCGGCACTCGCGCGATTAGTTGGGACTGTGCATGTGGATTAATGCTTATGGCACATTTTTTTGGTGCTGGGCAGGCAGAGATGGGAGTTGGCAGCAATCCTTTTGATCTGACACTGATCTGTGACCAGCGTGAGATGAGCGCTTCTTGTATCGGGCAGCTCGTGTTAACGCTGCTGTGGAAACCGTCTCCAGGGATGATGAAAAGGAGACATGATGAATGACGGAGCTAAATTAGCTTGAAGAGCAGCAGCTCCTTTAATATCAAGCATCTAGATGATAAAAGGCTTAAAGGGCTTCATACAAAGGATTTAAACCATTCATGAGCAAATGAAGCTGAAGGAAAAATTAGAGGGAACTTTATCAGTCTGACATAAACTATTAAAGCCAGAGAAGGTTACTTAAGCCAATGAAAATATATTTGGTTTTCACTGACAAGGGTTTATGGAGTTTCCTTGACAAAAAATTTACAGAATTAAAAAAATTATCCTCTATGAGAGCCTACGTCACACCCATCTACTTCCTGACCATGGATCCCCGGAAGAAAGAAAAAACGAATGCAAGTCAATGGGGCTAAAAACGCTATTTTATAACTCCGCTTGTCATGTGGATTTTGCACACGATGTCCATGAATTTTCTGGGGACCCATGAGCCAACCGGAAGGGGATGAGACTTATGCTCCCTATAATAAAGTTCAGAAAAGACGCGTACTGTAGGTCACTTAGAAAACTAATATTACAGCCAACATGTCAATATTAATGTTTTTACGAGAGGTTTTAATTTATGTGGTGAACTTACTTACGCACGGCCTCAGAGGGGACTTCCCCTGTTCGTATCCTGGTGCACAGCGGTTACACCGTAGACCGGTCACTCCTTCTCGACACAGACATTGACCCGATGTTTGGTTGCACCAGCGTCCAACTGCCCCCAAAGGATGGCACTGACATGCTGAGGAAAGAAATTTCAAAATAAATAGTGTATTGATGTCTGATGTTTTGCATTGATGTTTTTGCAGCATGTTGAGTGTTAGAAAACAAGCTTTTTCCAATAGCTTCAGGTCAAATGGTGCGATTGTTTCTCGATGAAGAGTTAAAATTTGTTCACAGCAGTAATTTCAACTTTATCTATGGACCACTGACATTTATTAAACCAAGAGAGAGTAAAATTAAGTGAGATTTGAAGCTAAAAATGCTAATAACAAATGCCCCCTAGTGGCTGGCTGCAGTAAAAGATTTAAGTCCCGCTCTTTCCATGTAAACGAATGGGGCATTCTCCCGATTAAAAAAAGTGCATATATTTTTGAGGTGTGGATTTCCGTTCATTTAGGTAGTTCTTACCTTTGCTTTTTCTAGTAAAATTAGATTTAATTAATATTTTTTGCTCATAAAAGCACAGAAACACGATCAGCCTCATGTACCGAGCACACAGACTAGCTCCAAGTACAGCATGGCAGCATCTGTAAATGGAATATTTTGGGCAGGCAAAGGAAAATATGCTTCATCCACACTATATTATAGTTTTTTTTTAATTCAGTTAAAACCAATTAGATTAAACCCAAATATTGACGTTGTAATGCTAAGATAATGAGAACAAACTATCTATTACAGATATGACTAAGTGGTGGCAGATGGTAGAAATAAGTAATAAAAGACACAGAACATGAGATAAAATGAACTATTTGTATGACAGGCAGGCCCCCGGAGTGTAATCCCTAATGACAGCAGGCGTTCGTCCTTAATGTTTGTCCTTGAGTAAGACAAAGTGTTTCCCAGGCATCCCAGTGAATCTATTTTGTAGCTGCCCCGATGAGTAAACGAAGACAGATTCCTCCATGAGGGGAAACAACAACAATAAAATCACCAGAATGAAACCGCTTTGCTGCTGCCTGTTTAGAGACCATGAACAACCTTCAGCCAAATGAAGAAAAATGCTTTGACACAAACCAATTTATGTCCTTTGGCCACGTTGCAGCAGGATAATAACTGCTCAGATTTGTCACAGTTTTCATGGAAAACCACATTACATCCCACCTCTATCACAGGATATATCTAAATGAGAGATGGCTAAAGGAAAGCACACTTCAGCAGCTCTGGCATAATATTTACACAGATCTTTACGATGAATCCAAACAGCCTGACTGGAGAAAATGAAGAATAATGTTGCCACTTGATTACTCTGAGAAATGCAGCGTGTTTTTTAAAAAGTTACAATAAAATCCATCAAGCATTTAAGCTGCTTTGTACATAAAAAGTGAGAAATTGAGGGTATTGTCACGCTGAGAGCCAGGGGAGTTGGACCCAAAATGCAGATACCCAGAACGACACGAAGCAGGAGCGGATGTGAAAGAAAACATCCCTTTATTAGGATGAAAAAATAAATAAAATCCAAGCAGGGTGCGAAGCCAAATAACCTAGAGACCGTGAAGGAGGGGGGACTAAACAACGCTGACACGAACAACGGGCCAACAACACATTGAGACGCAGACAGGGTTATATACACAAGGGTTGGGTGATTAGGGAATTGTGCACAGGTGGGACTAAAAAACAGAGAGGAGGAGCACAACGGAGCAGGGGAGGAAACCAGGCCTAACAATGGGGAAGGGAGCAAAATGAACTAAAGGGAGAAAACTGACTAGATAAACAACACTAACAGAAGACTAATGATAAGTGAGGTGACTAAGGGAAAACGTGAGGGAAACCTAGGGAGCCTGGTGGGGGCTGGGGAACCACAGGGACACTGAAACCTGGGGGAACACCAAAGGGAAAAAACCTGGAGTGGGCTGGGGAACACATGGAGGCACATGAGAAGCACAAGGAGACACATAAGGGGAACCTGGAGAGGGATGGAGAACACAAGGAGACACATGAGGGAGACGCAGAACGCAGACCATGACAGGTATGAGCTTTTTCCATCCCTGCACACGTGTCAACCTCAGAGGACTGTTAACTTTGGATACATCAGGTCATGCCTCCACATGAGCATGTCAGTGTCAGAGTTATACGTGACCAGTCAAAGGTCAAGGGTCGATGCAGATACCAGCCAGTGGTAACGATGGGGATACAGGCAGCAGATTAGTGGTTGGGTTTTTTTGTGTGTGCTGACAGGAATAGCTGTCCTCTGCCACAAAATAAAGGCTTTTGCACGTCCAAACCGTCAACTAAAGTAATTGTCTCCACCTACGTCCTTTGTTTATAAGTAAAAGTAAAAGGTTGTGTTTATAGGTGCCGCCATGTTTTGATTTTAGTGCGTTTATTAAACTTGCTTTTAGTCAGGAAACTGTTTTATCCATTACAAAAGATGGAGACTTAGGCCTAGAATATATGACCTCCCATTTACGCTGGCAGAAGGCCTTTGTTCACATACATGCTGCTGTACTGCATGTAGTACTGGATGATTTCACTAGGGGGGCACATTAGAGTATGCAGACCAGGTAAAGTCCCAGGTTTTTGGGTATAACCAGCATGGCGTTAATAGAAGAAATCAGTAACTGGTTAATTTTAAGATCATGGCAGAAAAAAAGACAGTGGTGGTATCGTAGATGATATGTAAGACCTCTAAACCAGAGGTGGAGTGACCATGGCGAATGTGTGTCACTCGTTTTGTCAACTCCACCTACTGGTTACTCGTATATAGAAACTTGCGGACGTGTCACATTGATATTAAGGGACGTGCACAAATGACGCTTCAAATCAACACAAGTTACGTGAGACAGCCTTTTCATTCATGCGTACGCATCATTAAAAATCAAGTATAAGGACTCAGTCTAGCCATGCTCCATAAGAGCCTCAGCAGGTCTACCATTGGCCTGAGCAGCATTGTGTTAGGCCAATCATAGAACTCTCTAGGTTTGGTGGAAGGGGTGATGCAACGGAGTGGAACAACTAAGATGGTGGCACATGTTTAATATGACTTTGACATCAACTTTGGACTATTTGGACTTTACTTTGACTAAACAGCAAGTGCTTTATTTAGAAAAAGGATGTATTTATGTCTTCTTCAACAGAGTATGGGGGACTGCCCTGTTGACTGACATCAGTAGTGGTGAGTATGTCACGTTGTTCGTTGCCCATAAGAATGTGGAGACAGTTTGAAAGATACAGTACAGGCCAAAGGTTTGGACACACCTTCTCTTTCAATGTGTTTTCTTTATTTTCATGACCATTTACAAAGGCACCAACAAGTGCTAAACACCTCTGAGAACTCCTTCAAGACTGCTGGAAAACCATTTCAGGTGACTTCCTCTAGAAGCTCATCAAGAGAATGCCAAGAGTGTAGAAAGCAGTAAGCAGAGCAAAGGGTGGCTGTTTAGAAAAAAATTAGAAAATAAAACATGTTTTTTGTTATTTCACATTTTTGGGTTAAGTACATAACTCCTCATGTGTTCATTCATAGTTGTAATGCCTTCAGTGAGAATCTGCCAATGTAAATGGTCATGAAGATAAAGAAAACACACAGAATGAGAAGGTGTGTCCAAACTTTTGGCCTGTAATGGATGTAGGATGGCTTGTCAGGCTAAAACGTGTCCGCTTCAGACATGTGACCCCAGATATCTGTGATTTATAAATGCAAGCGCCTAAAAAGCTTCAGGACATAAAGAAAACTACTTTAGCTAATAAGAATTTATATTTTAGACCAATTAGTTGAGATTTGTAATAATTATGGCAAAAAAAATACATTCAGGAATTGCTTTTTCATTTTCTTTTGATTTCTGGGATTCAACGCTACTTGTGTTGTTCTGAGTGACCATCAGCAGGATCTTGACCCCAACTTTGGGAACCACAGTAAGACACTCTGATTCTGATAAGCTGCCATGCTTTACTCTAACACATTATTCCACTGATGTGAAGCTGCGCTTTGACGATCACAAAGTGATCAACTTTGTGTGCACTTAACAGTTGTGTAGATGTGTTTATTTACATTATTTTGCTTACTAAATTCAGAGAAATCTGCCATTTAAACATTGCACTATTGCTCTTTGCTTTTTTGCTTTGACCCATCACACAACACACACGAATGCATGCACGTCTATATACTGACGCTGGCAGGCTTTTCGGTTGTTCAGCGGTTTGCTGTGATCACGGGTGTATCCATTCTGGCAGTACTGACAGTGGCGTCCAGCTGTGTGGTGGCGACACTTCAAGCACACACCTCCACTACGTCGACCGGATTGCTGAAACACCTCCATGCTGAAACGGCATTTGTTTGAGTGGCCGTTACACTCACAGGCTGAAACATGACAAGAAAATAGCTGACATTAGAGAGGAAAATCGTGTTTGCACTCATTTTTGAGGGCATTTTGTTAGTGTATTTTTAATGTCATGGCATAAAAAAACAACAGAGAAATACTGAGGATGAGGATATAAAAAATAATGAGGATACAACTCTTTTTCAGTCGTTTTCAATTGAAATTGTTCATTTCAGTTTAAAGGTGCATTATATTTGCTTAGACATCTAGACAGAGAGTAGCTGAAGGGAAATATTTTTTACTCTTAGTGTTGGTCTAGCCACACTCTAAAGGTGCCTCAGCAAGTCTACTATTAGCCCAATCAGTTTTGTGTTAGGCCAATCACAGCGCTCTATCATTTTGGTGTCCAGATCAGAGCTCTCTATCTGTGTGGTAGGCAGGATCCTGCAACAGAGCGGAACAACTAAGATGGTGGTGGCTTGTTTGAAATGGCTCTGGTCATCAACGTTGGACTATTCAGACTTGGGTTTGAGTCAAGAGCAGATAGAGGTACTTAAGTCCTCGAAGACTGCTTCGCTGACTGACATCCGTAGTGGTGAGTACATTACGTAGTTTGTTGCGGAGACAGATTGAAAGACAACCGTAGGCTCCACCCCACAAGCTCTATCTGGGGTTGTGGCCAGTCTATATATATATATATATATATATATATATAGCCATCCGTCTTGCTAGGTTAGCATTGTGTAAAAATGAAGTAAAAATTACATCATTTGGTCAAATTTTGTTGCCGCATTTCCCGATCACACAAATAACTCTCTCACTACAATTCCTCGAGTTTCATGGCTGTTGTCAGTTATAAATCAGAGCCAGAAGATTCTAGATCAGGTGTCCCCAGCTCCAGTCCTCGAGTGCTACCATCATGCTAGTTTTCTGTTTCCTGCTCTGCCACACCTGAATGGAGTCATTTAATCCGCTCCTTACCACGCGTAAATCTGCACATGCTTGTTAATTACTCATTAATTTCAATCAGTTGTGTTGGAGCAAAGAAACAGCTGTGCAGGATGGTAGCCCTTGAGGCCTGGAGTTGGTGACCACTGTTCTAGATGACGAGTGAAGACGAGTCATACACATTAAGTTCGTAAGTACATAAATACATTTCATTGTAATATCTGGTTCAGGCGTGCCCAATCCTGGTCCGGGAGGGCCGATATCCAGCAGGTTTTGTGTCTTTTCTGCTCCAACAGACTTGATTCAGTGGTTGAAACACCTGTGCAGCAGCTCATCAGGCTCTGCAGACGCCTATTAATTAGCTGCGGATTGAAATCAGGTGTGTTGAAACAGAGTTCAAACTAAAACATGCAAGATACCGGCCCTCCAGGACCAGGATTGGGCACCCCGATCTAGTTGGTAGTAATTAAAAAGTAGCTTGAGAATTGTGTGAAGCTGACAATTTGCTTCAAATTCACTGTTAGCATTGTTAGCTCAACGTCAGCCTTGAACCTGCTTCACCTGATATTAGAGCAAATAAAAAAAATGCTGTGGCTTCTCAGGGATACAAGAAATAACCTCTGGGTTGCTCCTGTTTACTGGCTTCGGTTCTTTAAACAACTCTGAAGCTTTGTGCTTGCTGGTGTCAAATTACAAATACTGGTGCTGCAGCGACAGCATAGCAATCCCACAGGATCACTGATTGTAAACAGTAACTACGTCCCTCTTTAGCTTTTTTAAAAGAAGAAAAACTGACAACCATCCAGACGGCTGACATCAGTTACAATGTTACCTTTCTTCCACAACTGTTTGTTAGGGCTGTCGCGGTAACCGCAAGAAGAAAATATCGCGATATTAAGAAACCCACCGCGCTGCATGACGTGCCACCGCCATTACCGCACTTGATTAAATCTCGCGACAGCGCATGCTGAGAGGAAAAGTCCGCGCTGATCGAGGAGATAGTACACATGGAAGATGGAGGGAGCGGTGTCAGTGCGTCAGCTGCAGCCCAGCTAGAGACCTTGGAGCAGGCAGTGCTGCCACCAGCGGCAAAGAAAAAAACGCTTAGAGACCTGCTGAAGTCACGGACAAGGACGTCTTCTGCAACTGTCCCGAAGAGAGTTAGAGCCGAGCTGGAGCTCACTCGCTACCTGCAGGAGGAACCCATTGACCCTAATGAAAACCCTCTGACATGGTGGCGCAACAACCACGAGAGATTTCCATTGCTCTCCAAAGTCGCATGTAAGTACATGTGTATTTGCGCAACAAGCGCACCATCCGAGAGGGTTTTTAGTGTCGCTGGAAATGTTGTCACCCCTCTCAGATCCTCTCTCAAACCGCATAAGGTTAACATGCTGGTGTTCCTTGCGCGTAACAAGGACATGACCGAGTTATAAATCACAGTTACGCCAGGGACACACCGGCCGCGGAAGCGCCGCGAAAATGGGACCGCCTTCATTCGGCGCCCTTGTTAAGCTATTCTAAGCGTCTGATCTGAACTGAGGAGCGGCGAGCAGCGAACGAATTTCGTGAGCGATTCGCTTCTCGGCGCTTCCGCGGCCGGTGTGTCCCCGGCGTTATTCTTGTGTGTGAAAGTGAACTGACAGTGCCTGGGACATCTCATTTTGTTAGATGTTGAAGCCAAATTTGCATTTCAAAGTTAAACCTCCTGAATGTTGTTTTTAAGTTCAGTCAGAGAATGCCGTTACTGCCCTTCGATCTGCATTTAATAAAGTGTCAAAAATGGCCATGTATTTTTTCTAACATTTTTTAAATGTGTAAGCACAATGTTTCAAAGGAAATATTGCCATGAGTTTAGTAATTAACAAACAAATTTGCTAAGTACATAAATAAAAACGGGGTGCAATAATATCGCATACCGCAATATTGAGCTGCCCTGACTCACCGCAGGGGGAATTCCTCAACCGCGACAGCCCTACTGTTTGTGGTTATTTCTCTGTATTCTTACGCGTTGTGCCTTTAAACAGCCACCTTTAAAGAATAGGCTGGTAGACATGCTCATTATTTTGCCATATGCCTTATCATAAAAACCCTGCACCTTTCAAAGCTGCTGCTGAGATATGAACACATAAATTACTTTATTTGTAATGTGTATTCAGATACAAAGTATGAGTACATTTTAAATGTTACATGAATGAATTCTGATTACCTCAAGTAGTATATTTTTCTTTCCAATGTATTTTTATCATCTTTAGATGTAAAAACTATATTTTTATTTACATGTAAACTTCAATTAAAAAATGTGTTTTAAAATAATGTATCACTCAGGTGGACTATATGTGTTTAGAGTTGGAATTATATTTTTAGCAAATAGATGACTAATTTTCTTCTACCGGATTATGATGGCAGTGGGGTGCAGTGTATGGTGAAACACGGATAAATTGGCTTGTGTACAACCATGCTATCAACACTCACGTTAGAAAACAGCTTTTGACACGCTGTCTACTTTAGTCACCATATACTAACTCTGCATAACATAAACGTCATAAAGACTAAATTATTTTAAATATCAATTGAGCATTTACGGTAGGTAATCATGTGATTGCGCCCCAACCCCCCAATAAAACAAAAATAAACCAATGGCGTTGTTCAACATAATGACACAACATTTTTGTGAAAAACATTATTTTGAAATAAGTAGAAATGATTAGCAAACCTAAGGGGTAAGGTATTTATCAGCATTTTTGTAAACCCCAGATACATAAACTGCACATAATTGATTTCTGGTAAAGTTACAGTGATCATTGATCACTTATCATCTGGGGAAACATTGCTTAAGCGTCTAGCCAATGGTCAAAATTTGCTGTCAGACCTGTCAATCTCCTAGGGCCCTGTGTCCACATATGTGCACATTGGCTCCTTGCACTATAACATTTTATTATCTTCACCTTAGACCTTTTTGTTATTATTTATAGGCACATAATATTGACTTAAAGTTAAAAAAAATTTGTTTTCTTGCATTTTTATAGGAAGTTTGACTAATTTTTAATGTTATTTTATTTTATTTTAATTAATTTTAATTTTTAATTTAATTTAATTTAATATTTATTTTATTTTAACATTTGTAATTTTGTTTCCGTTAATGAGAGTAGACTACTCTGTAATAGTTATGTATTTTTTCTTTTAAATCACATCAAATACAGGTTCAGGTCTCAGGAGTTGATGGTGGAATTAGGCTCGATACTCAGTTTTGTTAAACCTTTTTACATGCAGCTCAGCTTAAAAACCTTGTTTTTATGCATTTTCTGTTTAAAGACTAAATGTATTTGAATTATAGTAGGCTATATAATATTTAAAAATATGTATTTGGATGTTTTAAATGGTTTGAGGAAAAAAACAACCCAGGAACTTTTAAGCAAAGTATGAAAATCCTTGTTAAACAAATACAATATTTTTAACAGAAAATGACACAAAAAACATATCCCAAACTGAAATAACTACGAAAGTACAATTAAATTTTTACTATAAAACAGCCATGTCCAAAGTGTGGCCCAGGGGCCATTTGAGGTCCTCCAAATAATTTTGTGTGGCCCCCAATTAAATTTCTACAATGTTAGAATTCTGCCTCTAGCAGGATCTGGATTGGCACTTTTTACTGTTTTTGTTCTGTCGTTGTTGCAATTTGGAAATAAGAAAAATCACACTGTTGTGGCCAGCGAAGACTTTTAACTAGAGGATTTTGACCCTCGTGTTAACAAGTTTTGACACCCCAGCCTTAAAGTTTGAAAGTGAGCAGGACTCACCGATACAGGGGTTTGGGTGAGTGGGCGTAGCTCGATGCCACGGTCTGTCAAAATAAAAATCCTCACAAACATCACAGTCTGGGCCTGCCGTGTGATGCTCGCACACACACACTGCACGACCTGTGTCGTCACGGCGACATCTTGAGGCGTGCCCATTACATTTACATCTGCCTCCGACTTGCAGGTCAGAAATGGCTACGGGAGCTCGGAGAGGAAAACTAAAAGCATAGGCCTGCAAATTCCTAACATTTTGTCTTGTGTTTAAATTATTGTTCCTCCTCTTCCTCAGTTCCCGCCCCTTGTTGCTCCTGCCTCGCCCTTCAACCGTCCAACCACAGTCTCCATTAGGGCATGGGGTCCAATAATTGTTTTCCTTATTCCGACCCCTCCCTCTGCTTTTCCCTTGTTTTTTTGGTGAAGTAAATAAATCCAGACTGAAACTGCTCTCTTCTTCTTTGCTGGTCACATTGTGTCCATCTTTGTCTTCATCAGACCCTTTACGATTGTTCTTTCTACGCTGCTTGTTGTCAGCCTGCTCTACTTTATTCCTTCCAGTTGTCTCTGCGATGTGTGTCCCCCTGTCAAAAAACCGCAGCGTGTTATCCTTGTTCAATTCGTCCCCCTGATCTCCAATGTGGACCTTTTTTTCAGATCTCCACTTTAGAACCCCAGTTCCTTTGGTATCCTGAGCACCATCAAGCCATTGGGCATCTCCCCTTTTATCAGAGCTGCCCACAGTGATGTCATTGGATACTTGATGGAAGACCACTCGGATGTCCGTGGCTGTAACCCAATCTTGGAGGGTTGGGCTGTAATCATAGTCAGGAGATGATGGTCGTCCATCCAGAGTAGAAAAAGCAAGCACCGTGCCACCCCGTTGCCTCTGCAGAGGTCTAGGGTCTGAACAGAGGGGCTCTGTTTCTTGGTGTCTTGTTTGGGCTACGGTCCGAGGGGGCAGTCCAAAGTCCCTGAGGCAATCACTGGAGTAGTGCTGCATTGGCTTCCAGGTACGCCCATAATCCATGGATTTGAGGATGGAGATGGGGTCTGATGGCTCCCCTTGGTTACAGAACTGCAAACTTATGTAGGTGATCTCAAAGCGGCGGCCCAGTGGTAGAGTAAGGACCCAATCCCCCTTAAAAGCCCCTGCCTGTGCATTCCAACAGGTGAGGTTATGAGGGTTGTTCAGGTCTGTCACTGTGGTGATGTTGCCTTGAGAGTCACCGTGTAGCGAGTGGCTGGCATTGACCGGGTTCCCATAGGCAGCATTGATGAACTCTGACAGGCAATGTCGAGGACGGCCATCTGGGTGGTAGCAGGGTTCATGAGGTGAAGTCCAACTCAGGGGGGGGTGGGAGAATGTAGAGAGACGAGAGGGAGGGAGGAGGAGGAGGAGGAGGAAGAGGAAAACAGGAATGAGAGGGTGGAAGGGAGGAAGGGATAAAGGTAAGATCATCATGTCATCGAGCCTAGAAGAGAAGAAAAAAAGCAATCTTTAGCAAAATCACAAAGAAAACCGGCTGATTTGTTTGATCTACCTTTGGAGAAAATCCAAAAACGACGGCCTGCGCCTTTATTGAAAACAGATGAAAGCATCACTTCACTTCATCTGCACCTTTCTCTCTTTCCATGTGCCAGTAGAGAGCTCATCCCATAAAAATGTAATCTCAGCTTTTGTTATAGTGCCAGCCGCTGATTTGAACCCATAATGTCACTGACCGTTGAAAACGTATCAATCTTAGAAAAAATTCCTGCAAACTCAAAGAGTGGTGGAAGAGTTGGGGTGAAGAAGGGCACACACCCCGTAAGGTATGTCTGAAATGACACAAAACATGCCCGACAGCTGGAGCTAAACCCTGCATTGGCCTACATCCATCACGTTTATTGCTCCCTTTTCCAATCGTTTCACCCTCGGTTGGTGCTGCAGGCCTGAGCGGTGGGTCTAGTCATGGTGCAAAATGTAAGGCGTGAGGAAACAGGGTAGAACGGAGAGGCAGGAGGGAGGAAGAAGAGTTGGAGATTAGGCTTTAGGAGGGTTTGAAATGATTTATGAGTTGAAATGCATGCTTGATTCAGCTCTGCTTTGCTGCTTCCGCAGTGAAGACAAACGCAGGCTTGTGTCACTAAACTGTGCACGAATCCCTTTCTATCTCTTACAACTGGCGATGACCGTAAATTATGTTTCTGCCAAGATTTCTTGGTAGAAAGCAATCGTTTTGCCAGTAAGACAAACTGAGCAATGCAGTTTACTTCCCTAACAGTCTCATCTTTGTTTGTTTCTTGAGCAGAAACAGCATCACCATGCAGCTTTACTTCTATGAATTTCTTTCTCTTATATTTGCATCGAATCCGATGTCTGTTTCCCCACCTCATATTCAGACCTCGTTCCCTTCGCATCTTCGTCTCTGACCATTTATCACCTGCCCCCTTCATTCTGTTCTGGGAATATTCTTAACTGCCCTGAGATTGATGATGTCCTAACAAGCGTTTGACACTGACAGCAAAGTCAGCAGGGCAGCATAAACCAAACTCGTAAGAGAGGACGGGGCTGAGATCCTCTCCGGCCTCGTCATCCTGCTCAATTAGCTAACGGTCGAAATTCGAAGCTTTCCTCAGGGACCACACAACTCTGAGCCGCCTGCACGCTAGTCGTGACGCTCCCTCGGCTTCCGTGGACAAGCTTCTCCGATCCTGACCTCCAATTGCAAAAGCAGCCGGTTGAGTCATCGGTTGAGAACAAAATGGAAAGTTTAAGCCCGACGGGCGGCTCTCTTTTCTAATGCTGCCACAGGAAACACAAAAAGGTGCCGTGATGAGTGGTCCGACTGTGACCCCAGTTCCACCAAGCCACATTCCTGGTGTCCAGAATGCCTCAGCTAGCCATTCCTGGCATGTCGAGACATGCCCCACGGGAACCTGAACGCACTGATAAGAAGCAGGACTTATAAGTTGTTTAGTGATTAATTAGCTCTCTGGTTTCATTTGGTGTCAATGTCCTGTTTGCATAAAAAGAAAGGACAGCATGAAGGGGATTAAAGGAGGGAAAAGGTTATGAAAGGATCCAGGGGAGCTGTGGAGGGCTGACATCATGCTGAAGAATTTATTCTGGATGGGGAATTTGAAGCGGGCGTAGGCAGGTGGAGGTTCAGGATCGGAGGAGGTTGTTTAACATTCCCCCTGACATAAATTCGCTCTTGTCTTTGTCACATTACATGACTAATTAAACATCGGTCCATTACCAGCACTTTGATAAATGGAAGTTGAACTGAAAAGAGGCCCCTGAGGTTTTTAAAGCCCCCTCAAGGCCCAATCCGGACTTCTTCCAAAGCCAGATCATTTGTCTCCCGCCGCCAACACCGCCGGAAACACGAACAGGTTTTCTCCGCTACTGCTCATAAATTCACACATCATGCAAGTCTTTAAGAATGCCAACATTTTGTATATTAAAACGTCGTTGGGTGAGACATAAAGTGTAAAGTGCTAAAGCAGCGCTCTAAAACATCACGACACACTCACGAGTAAGACTCCGTGTAACTAAAATATCTTGGCAGCAGTTGTGTCTTTTAAAAAGCTTAAACAGTCAAATAGTGGTACGATGAGATCAACTACATCTCCGGCGGGTGATCTTTAGGAGCGGCTATGCTTGGCCGACGAGGGGCTGGAAAAATACTTGCTGACAACCTGGGGGCATGTTTACGGTATGGCTGCACAGATGAGAGCGGACAGGGCCGTGCTCAGATCCGCGCTCTGCAGCCCTCGTGGATTTTTTATCTTAAGCTGAAATCTAGCTTTAGTAAAAACAATAAAAGTACATTTCGTAGATTTTTTTAAATAATTTTTTTGGTTTTCTATGTGATTTTTATTTTTACTTTTTTTTTTTTTACTAAAAATACTTAATGAATTAAATGTACTTTTATCCAAACAAAGTAAACTATTTGCATCCATTTCTTTCCTTTTTTTGCATTTTTTTAATTAATTTTCTTTTAGACAACTTTTGTTTAATGACATAATTGTTGCTGTTTTGCCCTTTTGTGTATATTTAATAAAGTTTACTTAAAAAAAACAAAGCACCAATAAGACCATTTAATAACATTTTCGAGTCCAGCCTGTGCCTGGTTCTTCTCCGTTTTTGGTGAAGACCTGCTGGGTGCGTCCGATCTGTTCGAACTGTGGGTCGTCAGGCCGTTTCGAGTCACGTGTTCTGCTCAGCAGATGAGCTGGATTTAGCCCGTCTCACACATTTTAACATTCCCCGTCATGCCCATCAGTCCTGTCTGACAGAGTCAAGCTCAAGCTGTCCCAATTTTTTTGTTTTACATTTTAAAACTTGTGCACACGAAGAACTACATGCAGTTTAAAAAGATCCTCGGCCGGATCTGCTCCAACGCAGAGCCTTTAAATAAAATCTAATAATTAAATCATGTTCGATGCTGCACCACAGCACCTGTTGGTGCGTGTTACCAATCTGACACCTTTGTTAATTTGCAATTGTCCTTCGCTCTTTCAGAAATACAACACTGGACTCTGGGTAAGAAGAGGACGGCCCTGTATTCCCAAAGTGCATTCCTGCCTGAACGCTGGGTTTTTCCACATGGAGCAGATTCCAGGAGTTCTGTTTTAGGTGTAATAATCTAATTTTAGTAGGGATACAGAGACACGAGGAGAAACGGGATGTCTCTGCTAGCTTGCATCTCTGTCCTCTACATTTACAAATAAACAAGGCTCCTTTAGGGAACCTCCACAGTCAGGTCCGGCCGCCTCTGCGCTGACCCATGCAGGAGTTTTGTTTACTTTATGTTCTAAATAAAAAAACACATGTTTAAAATTCATGTTTCCTCACGAATCCCCCCCCCGCCCCCGCCTCCCTCTTTTTTTTACAGCCTCAGACAAGTTGGCAGGAGGTTCTGTGGGTCTCCAGCTTCTCATGATGATGTTGGAAAACAGATGGAGATGAAATCACTGTGATTCCATGTGCAGCTGAGCTAACTGTGGGTATGATGGTAAAAAAAAAGTAAATAAATAAAAAATAAAAAAAATTAAAGACTTAACATTCATTTCGGGAATGCAAACCCCTCACCACTTTTCATGTGAGTTTTAAACCAAAAGCCTTTGATCGAAATCCCGTAAATACCTTAATGCACGGTCTCACTCAATATCACAAGATCTTGTGTCAAGGATTAGCACTTAGCTTGTGTTGACCTGTGCTCAGCTAATTTGGACTTTTAGCTTTACATCTGTGAAACTGAGTTGTGATTGATTATGGTGGACATCATGAATGGGTGAACCCCCTAAAGATGTACAACCAGTGATTATTTTCTAAGGGTTTCATTCCAATCAGCTGCAGTGACTCTCCAGTCATTTTCCTAACCATCAGGATTGACTCTACAAGCTAATGGCTAACTTTTTAGCAATGCCACACAGCATGGATGTCACCAAGGTTGTACGATTTAACATTTAGGCTCAATAAATATAAATGTGACAGTTTCAGCTACATTTGTGTTGGCTAATGCTAATTTTGGAGTTAATTCAGATTCAAATTCAAAAATACTTTATTAATCCCAGAGGGAAATTCAATTGTTTCAGTACACACAATTTTGAGATCAGACATACATAGACACGTGACAAGAATTGGTGACTGTCATCATTTGCAAAACGAGTCACACTACCGTTATAGATCAAGAGGGTTTATATGAGGACTGAGTCAGGGGGAGGGAAAACTTCAGAGTTACCCCCGACAGAAAGGATAGCTTTTCTATGTAAAAAAAAAAAGAAAAAAAAAAAAAGAAACACCTCAGACAGATATGCACACAGACTTCAGATGATACACAACATAAGTGTCCACTAGGTGGGTAGGAAAGGTTTGGACTCTCCTCACTTCAGAGCGTGCAGCCGCAAGAGCAGCGCTCATCACTCCATTATCAACTCCATAAATTAATAAGTTGTAGATTAATCAATACTTTCTGGGAGTTCCATAAAAGTGTATCTGGTGATTTATGAGGGTTGAATTGGAAAATTTAGTATAGAAGTCACACAATGTGTAGGGTTCAGAATGTGTCGTGAGAATAGATCTCAGCTTCTATAGTGCCTAATCTTTCATGTAAAAGTGACTGGTCTGCAGTCATTTTAGCTGAGGCAGCCATGTTGAATTGGTTGACTTCAAAGAAAAGTTGCAAATGATCCCTTTCTGAAAGTTTAACTCAAATATGTCCAGTGGTTCATGAGATATTTAGCTAAAGACAAAAGGGTTTTGACTCGAAAAGTTAGCAAAAATTGTAAAGCTTTTTGCTTGGCAACACCTATTTTTATCTCTGTATTTTAAAAGCGGACCTGTTTTTTGTATATGTTAAAGGTTGAATATGGAACAACATAATTAAAAGTTATATTTTTATAAATAATACCTCCACTGGGCATTTAGGTGTGCAGAATGAAGGTACAGTATTTCCCTTAAAATATATATGTTCACACAAAAATAATCAAAAACTTATTTTGATGGGCAACGCTGGGTTTATGTGTACATCTTCCAGCCAGTAGAGGGCACCATTGCGGGTTGCCAAACAGTCCGCTCACATCAGGGCTGGCATTGTGGATAATGGCAATCTCTACAAGTCAACCAGGTGCTTCTGAGCCCAGAAGATGTTCAAACATGAAATAATATTGTAAAATAAACTTATTCGTAGAAATGAGCGTTTATCCTATGCGATTCATTACAGCACACGGTGCTGGCTGCATGGGCAGCGAACCTGACCTCCCACGAACTTTGTTCTATTGTAACTACAACCTTTACACACTAGATGTCGCTTTGGTGTTCGAGTTCCTTTTACAAAATTGAACTCAAACTGTGGCGGCCTGCTTGACTTGGAAAGTGGATCTATGGCAGATCGATGGCAGATCGAAGTGTAGATTTATTTCCTTTCTGTAAGATATTTTTTCCAATTTTGCTCAAAAGATATTCTGATAATGAACACACACACACACACACACACACACACACACACACACACACACACACACACACACACACGCACACACTTCAATAACTGAAACAATGTCTCTGGAACTAAAGGTGTATTTTGGCAGGTTGATAATTAGAATCAGAACGCTGCAGGGCTGCGGCTCTTGTGAGCACCAAATTAAACGATTGAAATTTACGAGCAAAAATGCGTTTATTAAAAACGATTATATAATATAAAAAAAGCAAAAGGTTCACATCTTTTTTTAAAAGCTGTAAAGTTTTCGTCTCCACGCCTGTAAGACTATAAATTGGGTTTATTTTCCCCTCTGAGGTCTTTTAATAAAAAACAAACGCACCTGGAGCGGGACAGCCCGCAGCGACGGGCTGAAGCTGTTCAACCGGGACTGGACGCGGTTCATTAGACATAAATGTTTATCATATTTAGAACAGGATTGCTTTGGCAGCAGCTAAGAGCGAAGTCCCGCACTGTAATTACCGCAGTTAATTGCGCTTGTTGAGCAGAAATTGGCCGCAGTCAATTATCTTTGTCTCAGAGAGGTACAACAATATTTACACAAGGAGTCTATCAGGCTGATCAAACAGCTTCCTCCAGATGGGCTGTGCTGATTCATCTGTCATATGCTGCTAATAAAGCCTGCTAGAGATTATTTACGTTTCTTTCTGCGTAAATGTTGTGGTTTCCCCCCTAAATTTGTAGAGATGGCTAATTAATGTTACCATAAAGACGTTAAGTTGTAAAAAATTGCAAAGATAAAAAAGGTTTAGAAATAGAATTTCTACCTAGAATTATTAATTTAGAGACTCGTCAGATAAAAAAGGCTATTTGTTCTTTTGTGTAAATGTTTGGATTATTTATAAGTAATATTTACAAAACAACAGCATCAATAATAATAATATTAATAACACTAATATAATAATATAATAACAACATAATAATAATAATAATAATAATAATAATAATAATAATAATAATAATAACAATAACAATAACAATAATAATAGCCTATGCTTTTAGTGAGTTTTTAGGGATTCAGCTGAGCCGTAATGTCGAGTAAAATCGCGCAATAATTAGTTAATTTACTTACATTAATTAACTTTTCAAAACATTTTTGCTCATCACTCTGCAGGACACACATCTATTTCCAAAACTTCTATCCTTTCAGAAATAAATCCACCTCTTCTCCAGGGGCCAACGTGGACAGAAACAAATCCTCCCATGAAACAGGAGCAGCAGGCAGCAGGAACACGTTTCATGTAACAGATGAAAGGGTGAAAAGGTCGCTGTGAAGCGCTCAGCTCACCATGTGCGTCCCTGCAGCTGATTCTCCTCCGCTCCCGCGGCGCGTGCTGATCCCGGACAGGAGCGCAGCAAGTGTCCGCTCACAGCGCTCCGCTCCGCTGCGAGAGGAGCTACAGGCTGGCTGCAGAGGGCGGAGGTGGGGGAGGAGGAGGAGAATTAGCGGAATCAGATGGGAGGTGTCTCTCCTGACATTAATTGATGAGCCAAGAGAAGCTTCTCAAATCTGGATTATTAATCTCAAACTGGTGAGTAGACTTCAGCAAGTGGAGGATTTCTGACTGTATACACGTTGGCCGTTCTGTTCAAATCTTTTCGAAAAAGCTCTAATAATTAGTCTTTAAAAAATTAGATGATGGGACCCCAATGTGCTCTAATCTCACAAGCCAAAACGTCACCAAACAGGGCTTCTGGAGCAGACGTTCCAAAACTTTTGCAAAACTCCCTAAATATTTGAGTCACTTAGCTCAGTGGTTCCCAAACATTGTCAGGACGCGTGGACCCGGAAATCTCCGATTTATACTTAAAAAGCCTACATATTCAACTTGTGTTCATGTATTGTAACAATTACACAAAAATATAGTTTCAGCTGTTTTTCACATTTATTTTGAGTTTTGCAAACAATTTCCTGACCCCTGTGTAGTTCTTGGTGACCCACAGTGGGGCCCCGACCCCAACATTGGGAACCACTGGAAAATCGGACGAAAATTGATAGAAAATGATGAAGTTTTTTGCTTTTATTAAAATTTGAAATTGTTTTTTACACTTTATTAAATCAAAACCTATAAAACCTTGCTTGTTATATAGCCTATTGCACCTCGTTTAGCTAAAGAACGTTCCCACATGTTGACCAAAACAAGTTTAGGGGTTCACTAACAAAATAAAAGCTCTAATTTTTCAACAGTTTTGGACTTTTTAAAATTTGCCACAAAAAATATTCTTCATTGTATAGAAATCAAAATGCTGCTTATTACTTTAAAACAAACTTTACTGTGCTTATTCGTGTTAGTGACGCTTTTGTATTGTGTTGTTTATTTATTTATTTTTTGCACCAGTTGTGTTGTTGTTGTGAAATCAGGAGCAAACTCAAACAAATTGATCCTCATATAAAAAGTCTCATTTTCCAGCCCTGGCAGCTTCTCCGGCCTTTAAACCTCACCAGAAACTTAAAGACTCTGCTCAGCGTTTTATAGCTTGTTATGCAGTTTTTATTTTACACCATACACATCCTCTGCCCTCAGGTTTATTACCACCAGAGGGCTAAATCAGGAAAACACACATTCAGATGCTGCAGTCTTATCAGGAAACCTAACGTCTCGCTCCAGTTTACTCCCATTATCCAGCAGTTTGGGAAAAAAAATGGTTGAAGCTAATTGGCTGTGGTGGATGGTTCTCAGATGTGCGGCAAAACTGATACAGATGGAAATATAAGAAAGGGAATGGAGGTGGGGGAGGGAGGGAAGACGCTTGATTGGAGAGGAGGAAACGTTCCCATAGAAAGGACATAAAACTGATTGATGGCTTCCCTCGAGGAATGTTTCCCCAGGTGTGCTTTACTTACAGTGCACTTAAAAAATGCAATCCTTGGACGCAAGACAAGTGCAATAAAGTAAACTGAGGGGCGAAACGGCACGTTTATGTGTCAATAATGCACCTCGGCAGCATAAACACACAGACACGAGAGCCCTCAGACGGAGGCAGATTGGTGCCGTTTATTAACGGATCAAAGAAACCCAAATTGATAACAGAAGTCATCCCTGAAATTATGTAAGAAATTGTTTTACAGCTTCGTCAGGCTCTTGCAGTGGTCTCTGACAGGTGTTTTAGCGCTGCCAAAGCTCACACCCTGCAGCTAAGAAACCAACGTCATAATAAACAAAGTGCCAACAAGTTTTAAAAGTCAACAGTAAATCGCAGTCGCACAATCGGGCTTTCACAACTTGGCTTGGAATTGTTGGTTAGATTAGATCTGATTAAATATCTGTGATATGACAACACGCCACTGCGGTTAGCTTCGATAACAAGGGTGTGAAGCTGAAGCTGAAATGTCTGTTTATTGTACGATCTGCTTTAATATCAAAATGAAGCCTTCAGCTCTTCTCGGGCATGTTTGCCAACTCAAACACAGACGCATCAGCACGAGTTTTGTCTAAATGGGTTGAAGGTAAACAAAACGTTGAGCTGCGTGCGCTTATCGTAAAATCTAGCAAGATTAATCTAGAGGACTGTTAAGTTGTTTGGCAAGATGCAGATCAGTAGCAGTATTTTGTTTTACTCTAGTGCAAGTACAAAGTTTATAAAAACAATGCACTCTGAGAACACGGCAGTTAAAAAACTGAGACAAAACTCAAAGCGGAGTCGGAAAGTCCAGTAAAATCAAGTTAAATGCTACAGGAGTCTTTTAAATGTCATTTAAATGTCTCAGTCAATGACAAGTTAAAGTGAATTATTGCCTGACAACAAACATCTCTTTGGTCAAGAATGAAATGTTTTTGTGTTAAGACAGTCTGCCAGTGACAAGAAAAGTTTATAGTGTTGCTAAATGTACCCAACAAAGTATACGGTTTAAAAGAAGCTGTGAATTATCAAATAATTTCACACAAAAGATTTTTTTTAAATGTTACGACTTGGTCTCTTTTATTTTAGAATTGAAAATGAAACAAAAATAAAAAAGGCAAGCGTGTTATTCTTTATTATAACATTGGAACTGATTTTATCCAATTACTATTGTAAAACTGACTGTAATTAGTAGCACATATCTTTCATTAAAAGTTTGATTAATTTTCATAAATCACTGTTAAATATTCTTAGTGAAAACAAAAATTGGGACAAAGTCCAAAATTTTTATAACCTCAGAGGACAATGAAGAAAATGTTTTACTGTCTTATGTTGCATTATATTTTATCTTACGTGTTACCTCCTATCTCAGTGGTTCCCAAACTTATTTAGCCGCGCACCCCCCAGCCCCCACATCAGGCATGGCTATATATATATATAAATATATATATATATATATATATATATATATATATATATATATATATATATATATATATATATATATATATATATATCAGACGTCACGCTAAACAGACAGGGTTAAAATATGATTGACCTTTTTCCCCATCACTTTCATTTTTAAATAGTAATTAATAAACATTTGATACATTACAATTTCCTTTGATTTAATTTTAAATCAATATTTAGAGTGCCCAGGTAGCACATAAACAATGCAATTTAACGGTTTTCCAAAAGTAGGAATGTTTAACCTGCAGTGGCCAGAGCTCTCTCCTTCCTTCTGCTCTGCATAAACCTGAGCTGATCACCTACTTGTGCGTAATCAAATGTCTATAGGGGAAAAGATGGAAAAGCTATAGCCATGAGGTTCACTTTTGCCTCAGACCGACTTATTGCTGTTTTATGGTGTGGCTGAATCTGTGATCCGCTGCCACGCGGACTGGAATAACAAATGCTGCAGTAACATGAGATGTGGTCAGGTTCATGAGGAGTCACTGGCTGGAGCGGACCCGACTTTAATACGTCATCTCAAAATAGAAGCTAATATCTTAATTTGACCTTGAATGAAAAATGTTGTTATAAAACCTCTTAAAAGTTTTTATCACGGAGGAGGCAGCGCTCATTTCTGTCTTCTGTCTGACGGCGCGCCGGAGTTTGCGCAGTGTGCGCCCTTATTGAATGTGTGTGTGCGTGCGCGCGCGCGGCACAGCTCCATGAGCCGCTCAGGTCACCGTGTCTCGCGCTATTTAAACCAATGTTGTAAAATTACTTCTGCCCAGCCCAGATGTGCTCACATGTGCACCCGTGAGCCGTGGTTCCGCTGGAACGCGTCTGACCTCTGACAGACGCACTCTGAACTTCAGATCTTCAGCGCGCTGTTAATAGCCTGAATGGGAATCATTTCTTGTTATTTTGTTACATCCACAATGTTCTGTGTGTGAGGTTTACAATGTCAGAACACCTGCATGAGACAGGGTGTTAATTACAATCTGCCAGAATGACTCACCACCTTCAGATTCCTCCAACACCGTTAAAAATGATCAAATACGGAACATATCGGCGTGCGCAGGCCAGAGTGCTGAAGCTCGGCGCATTGTTATTATGAAGCTAGGGCACATGTGGAGGACACGCGTAAAAATATACTTGTTTTTAATTACATTTATTGGGCCCACTTACTTTTTCTTAGGCCCGCCCACAAACGAGTTTCTGGCTACGCTAATGGTGACATCTGACAGACTTCTCTGAGCTCCGCAGCCATTACACTTTTCACCTCGCGCACCCCCTAGCGGCAGCTCGCGCACCCCCGGGGGTGCGCGCACCACACTTTGGGAATCCCTGTCCTATCTAATACTTGCTGTATCACATCATATCAAGTTTCATGGTAGTGTATCACACAGAATTGTTTCATATTGTATCTAATCACAAATTGCATCCACATTGCACTACACTATATCATATAGTTTCAGTTGGTATTGCGTCCCATCTTATCACAGATCATATTACACAATATTGGATCATTTTGTATTGTATCATATTGAATAACATCCCATAATATTGTACCGTATCAAATCATATCACATCATAATTCATGTTGAATTATGTCATATCATTTGGCGTTGTATCGTATCACGCCATATTGTTTTACATCATATCACGTTGTATCGTATCACATTGTGTCGTATAATGTCATACCATATCAGGTCATATTGTATCACGTAATAACGTATCACGTCGTAATGTATCACGTTGTAATGTATCACATCATAACGTATCACGTCGTTATTTCTTGTTCTTTGAGGTAACAATATGAGCAAGGTGATGTCATGGAGTAAGGCTAAAGCCTACAAGCAGGTGAAGAACCTAAACAAAACACATCGTATACTAAGAAACCCATATAATTATGTAAATTGCATTAAATAAATTTTCTATTAGTAAAATACAACATGATTAATTTAAACTAACATTTATGAAATAGATAATTACCTGATTAATAATTTGGGACCAAACCCCATTTAAATTTATCAAAAAGGCAATGCAATATGATTAATTAATTCTGACCGAATCTCACTCAAATTCATGATTACAACTATTTATATTTCAATTTTATCTCAAAACAGTGAATAATTAGAGTTGAAATAACTCATTTGAAGCACAAACACCAAGTTAATTACTAAACACATAAAACAAACATTCATGATGCACCAGAATCTCTCTGAGCTGTGCTAAACAATCATTCATCAGCTTATTGGCATCACAAGTAATGCATTTCAGTTTGTTGTCTTACCGGCTGCCTCTCCAGTCTTTTAATTTAGTTGGTATGGTTTTAGAGGATCAGCGTGTTGGTGCATTCTCCAGGTGTTTTCAACAGGGTTTTTCTTCCCAGGTGTGTCCTACATCAAACATTAGAGGTGATGCACAGTGATGCGTAGGAACACCCCCGCAAACATAAATTAGCTCCAGCTGTTTTTCAGTTACCGACCACCATGTATTTCTTTTATATATGTATGTCATCTATTTTTTCTTACTTTTTATGTACATTTTTATGTTTATTTTCATTTAAAATTTTAAATCTAAGTCAAAAATTTGAACTTACACACGTCGTATTGTTTCGTACTGTATCATATTGCGTCGTATTGTATCACATCATATTGTATCGAGTCATATCGTATTGCTTTGTATCGTATCACGTCGTATTGTATCGAGTTGCATTGTATCGTTTATTATTGTATCACATTGTATCATATCCCACGGCCCTCGCCTTTGGATCGGGCTGCCGGAGGACCTCAGGGCCAAAGGGAACGTCCAGGCTTTTAAGAATAGGCTCAAGACCCACTTTTTTAGCTTAGCTTTTAAATGTTAATCTAGTCTGTTTAACTGTATCGCTTGTCGTATTTGTTTATTTATATACTTATTTATCTCTTTTACTTAATTTTATTATTTTATTTACATCTTAGTGTTTTTACATGATTGTTTTCTTTTACTATCTTTATAATCACTTTTTATCAGTTACTTTCTATCCATATTAGCTTTTGTTATTTTACATGTTATATATTTTAATCCTCCAGTGTTTCCTCTGCGGAGCCCTCTGCCTTGTGGCCGGTGGTGGCGGCCGGGGCGCTCCTCGGGTAGTGCCCGGGCAGTGGTGGGGGTCTCCGCCCTCCCCCGCTGGGCATCATGGGCCAGTGTCTTGGCTGCTGCCGTGGATCTGTTGCTGTCAAGGCAGATGGCTCCACTGATGATGTGTCGTCCATTACCTGACCCATCTGAACTCAACCTATTGTTTACCCTGTTGTTCACGTGTGTGTGTGTGTGTGCGCGCGCGCGCACGCGTGTGTGTGCGAGTGTGTGGGTGCGTGTACGTTCACCTTGGAAATTGGTTGCGGGAGGGGAAGTGTAACTGTCAACTGTTTTATACTTGGGGGGGCTGGGATGGGAATATGGGATCTATGGGGCCATTTTAATCTGTGAAGCACTTTGAGTTGCATTTTTTTGTATGAAAAGTGCTGTATAAATAAAGTTGATTTGATTTGATTGGCTCAAAAACCTAAAGCTGCATACAGCAGAGGAACATTATCCTGTAAGATGTGAATCCAGATGCAATGTTTCTGGTTTTCTAGCATTTCTTTAACTCTGTTTGGAGTGAGTGCTGACAGACGGTAAAGGGGAACAGAAGGATGCAAACTTATTACCAAAATATATATTTGATTCTAATTCAGTGACTACCATTGAAAAAAGAAGATTAATGAGTGAGAGTTGTTTAGCTTGTGCTCATGACGATGAGACAGAACCTCGTCCTTGGAGTTTCTTCGGGTCAAGAATTTATCACTGCTGGGCCAGATATTTCAGCCAAGGTCGATGCACCGCAAACTCCTCCATCTCTCTTAGTTCTCGTCACATCTTGTTTCCCCATTTCATGAATCAAACACTCCCCACAAAGTAAAAACAAGCATTTATGAGCGTGATTGTTTCAGAATGAGTGCAGAACTGGTAAAAAGATTTAGTCTGACTGCTTTTATACCCATTTTAATGATCATGTGAGGGCTGAAGACTGTCCCCGCTAGTGTCAGGAAGTAATCAGCCCGTCATAACTCAAATCCATGTATTACCTTAACTGCTCTGTCCTCATTACCCAAGCTTTCCACCGGATACGTGATGTAACAGGCACATCACGAGAAATTAAAGCTCCCTCATGATTTCATCAGTTCATGCAACCATATCGCTGTAATGCAAATCTAAAATTTCAAAGTTCAACAAGAAATCAGAGAAAATGAGTTAATACTCCAGAAAATGGTACAATTCTGATCATTCAAGTAAATATGACTGTGGTTTAGTTTGGATCTTTTAAAGTGGTGTCCCCAGGAAAGTTAAAGTCATCATCCCACACTGATGAAATTCATCTCCACATTTGACCCATCCCCATGGAGGAGAGCGGTGAGCTGCAGCAGTGGCTGCACTTAGGAACTATTTGGTGGTTTAAGCCCCAATCCAATCCCTTAAAGCTACTAACGTAAGAGTACTTTTTTTTTATAGCCAGATGTAACATTTGGGTAAAAAAAATACTGCCGGTGCCGTTTTAGATCATTAATATTCGTATTTTACCATAAAGTTAGATTTTGACCGGAATTTTTCATACTTAACAACCTTAAGTTACTTTATATAAACACGACAGATTAAAAGAAGAAACATATAAAACACTCCTTAAACTTCATTAATTCTTAAAAACCTGCTTTAGTTTGAAGGCTAAATATTCACGTCTTAAACTAGGACTTTCAAAATAAAAGTTTGTCAATAAAGGGAAAAGGTGTATTTCGTGCTTTCAGAACAGCCATGATGTAAATAAGAAAAAGTAAAAAAAAAAAAAAAATTTAATCAGTAGTGAAGATTTTTTAAAGTTTAATTTATTTATTTGTTAAGTTTCATGTGTGGGTTTAGTCTTACTCGTGACATTTGAGCCAAATAAGGTGGAAACTCAGATCAATTACATCTGAAACAGGAATTTGTTAAATTTATTCTAAGATGAAACTTGTTCTTTCAAAAAGACACAAAGATACAGCTACACTTTAGGCTTTCACACAGACTTCAAGTCATGTGTGGCAAGCAGTTTTAACATTTAATCAACAATTGGACGCCTTCATTTTTATTTTAAATAACAATAATTTCATTTATGCTAGTACCAACTCTGTTTTTATTGGTGGAAACTGCATAAGATAACATCAACCTACGTTGTTACTATAAAAATTAAAATTAAAGAGCAAGCCACATCAAAATCAACTTATTTTAGCTGATAACTAGTATAAATGAGTGTCTAATAGTGTTGTAGACATGTGTGGTAATTTTTTGCATTTTGATGCATTTTCTTTGAAAACTAAATTCTGTTTAAAAACATCAGTCTAGCGCCATCTACAGCTCAAAAGTATAGAACTCGTTTATTTTGTGTTTTAGCCAATAGCTAACAAGAACAGTACTACGTAGCAGCTCTATGGATTTAGGTTATAAAAGCACCTCGGTCTCAAGCAGCCTTGTAGCAGTCCACCCTTTCAGTCCTCCAGGCAACGCCTACTAATGTTGCAACTTTAAAAATTGATTTGTGGGTGGAGAAGGGCTCTGAGGCAGTCTTGACCCGCCCTTTAAGGATTACCATTATAACAACTGCACGAGTATTAAGTTTGAGATATCTCAGAATCCCTAAAACCTAAAGTGGCCTTTTTAACATTCATCAAACAGACTGGATCTGTATTCCAGATATCTATAATTCTATTGTTCCTAGTAGAAATGACCATTCCAGAAATCCATAAGAACACTCTTACCAAATGAACTTTTCAGATATCTGAGATGTTCATTCTAGACAGTACGAATCATTCAGTTAAAAAAAACACTTTCACGTTATATTATAGATTGTAACTGCATTAAAGAACATCAAAGTAATGTCAGTTACTTTGCTAAGTAACTTCACAAGGTACCAACTTAGTAACTTTTTGGAAAAAGGAATTTGTAACTATCTTTTTTTTTAACCTGAGATGCCTAACATCGGTTAGGACTAACCAATAGCGTTAGATCACCGTTTACGTACAGACGTTATTCACAGAACGTGCTCGAGCATTTAAGGACATACTCGGTTGCATCTTTTCTCATGGCCAAGTAAGTCTATGAACACACACTGTAACACGAGCATGATAAATGTAAAACAATGTATTTTAGCTTTGTTTTATCAACTTGAGGAGTGCGTTCATGAATGACAGGCATGGCTTTCAGCCTAACTTATTGGTGTGATACGCTTGTCAGCCACTAGATGGCGCCATCAGATAAAATAAATAATCTGGACATCTTTAATAGCCATAGAAAATTCATCCTGCCTGCCTAAATAAAGGATTCAGCCAGCTTAAAAAGAAGGTGTCAGTGTTTTTTTAAGATATGATCAGTTTACACAGGGTGTACACCGTTATGGTGAAAAAATAATCCCACAAAAGATTTTATAATCCAACTGTCAGGTCAAACATTAACAAATTATCTAAAAAGTATGATGTGCTAATCTTTTTATGGACAGCCTATCGTTCACCCTGACCAAAAAAGTATTACATGTAAATCATGTTTTAGAAAATAAAAAGGAACAGAATAATGCATTGAGACAGCACGGTTAAAGTTGAAGCGTGTTTATATGACTACAACCGTACATGAATGAAGATCGTCCCCTGGTGGATGGCTGCAGAATATGTTTTAGGCCACACCCCCTCCAAGGAAATGCTTTTTTTTTTAACAAAAATCAATTACATACCCCTCCTTACACACTTTTATTTCAACAACAAACAAAGGTAGTTACTTGGTAAAAATGTATTTCAGTGCTCTAATAATTTTACTTAACCTTATACTGGTTCAGTTAATCTAAACTGGCACCAGTTATATTATGATCAAACATAATCAGGCAGATCCTGAGCATTAAAATGTTTGTTGGTGAACAAAAATGTGCCACCTGCAGCTGCAAACAACTATAACTGAAAACACAAAGCATTTCTGATGCTTTACTATTCTTTCTGCTTTTCCTTCGTCCGACTCAATCATACTGAGACATATGAGTTTCAGGTGACACAACTGTACATCAGACATGCTGTTTACACAATAAATTAACCCTGAATTGTAAATATCACAGTAACAAATACTTATTTTCCTCCTTTTCTGTCTTTGATAGATGAATCTTCCTCATGTCACATTCTCAGTGGAGTCAGCTCGCTTTGGGAGGAATACGATTGGACCCAGAGTTGTCCCTTGGTGCAGATCTGCAAGAACAAAACACCTCAGTTACAATCTTCTGGAAATATTAGATCAAACCTTTCAGAGGGGACTTGACACCATTTATTCCAACTGATCTTTCACTCCTTTGCGCCCCCTTGTGGCTGAATTCATCTGCGCTGTTGCAGCTCTCACATGCATTATCGTCACCATCTACGGACCTCCACCTGAAGATAAAGCGAAAATGTTTTATGATCACATAAAAAGAAATGAAGCTAAACCTCTCTGACAACAGACCTCTCATTTATAAAAGAACACGCCTTTTTCTTTGTCTCCTTTTGAGAAACGATCACAGCCTCCAGGTAACAAGTGATATAAATCTGCATGGGAGAAATAAAATCAGGATTTTTCTAATCCTAAATGAAATAAAGGTAAACCGGTTTATGGGGCGCTGACGGTGTGTCTGCTGTCCTGATGGAAGAAAAACGGCTCCAGCTGAATCTGGAGGAGTTCGTCCCGGATTCGGGGCAGGAAACGTGAGCCGGAGCTGCTCAGCCGGGAGTCTGTGAAACATCTGCGGAAAAATCCTGATCAAATTCAACTCCAGCCTGCATCTGAGAATAATGGCAGGTCAAAGGAAGTGGGTGGATTTACGAAAGCCGGGGGTTCAAAGGAAGACGGTTTCATTTGGAGGATTAGTTGGAGGAACCGCTGCAGACGCTAAAGACTCACCCATGGCGGTCTATGAAGGGGTACGCTGGGTGAGAGTTCACATCAGGAGTCAGAGTGGCCACACAGCCGCCTGCGTACAGATGAAGAGGAGGAGGGTGATGATGGTCCACAGAGGCCTGCATGTTCACCGTCTGATCCATAAAGAAAACGGGGGAAGCTCTCTCTCTGCTCCAGTCATCTGAGAAGGAAAAAATAAAACAAATAAAAAAATTACTTTGGAAAAAACACATTTTAGGATGTGTTAATGACTCAATGTGGGTAGCCCATGTATCAAAACCAATGAGTCTACTCTGAGAAACAGTTGCTAGTTCAGGATCAGCAGAAGACTCTAGATGGCGAGTCGTAGTGGATAAGTTGATCACTGTAACGCCGAGTTGTTGGTAATCAAATAAGTTAAGTCAAGTCAACTTTATTTATATGGTGCTTTACAACAGCATAAAAGCTAACCAAAGTGCTTAACAAGCCAAAACAAATAAAAGTTTCCTATAATGCTAAAAATACGATAAAAGTTCATCAAAATGTAAAAAAAAATGACAAAAACATATCAAACTGACACAAAAGCTACTAAAACAGATGCATTCTCAAACTGAATTAAAAGCAGCGGAGAACAGATGAGTGCTGCTACTGAGAAAGCTCCATCACCCCTGAGCTTTCTCTTCGTTCTCGACACCTCTAGGAGAAACTGGTCGGCTGACCTCAGTGACCGAGACGGGGAGCGAGTGGCTAAAAGTTCACACAGAATAAGTCGCTTGAGATATTTTTAGAGCTGACTATTTGTTTCTAATTCACCGTTAGCATTGTTAGCTCAATGTTAGCCTCTAGCCAGCTTCCCCCGATAGAGTAAAACAACACCACCTTAAAGTTCTGTTTGATGTAAAATCTTAAGACAAAACAAACAAAAACAAACACAGCTGAGCTTCTTACTGGTACAAAGGTGTTAAGATCTAACAAGCCAATTGATTCAACGAGAGCTTACGGGAACATAAAGAAGCATGAGGAGAATATAAAAAAACTAATGAAACAAGTTCAGTGGCTTCAGTCAAACTATACAAAAGCTAACTCTAAAGTAGTAAAAACTCTTTAAAAGTTTTAAATCCACACACAAAAACACATTTTCAGATTATCAAAATAGGTTAAAGAGTAAGTCACCCCCAAATCATTTTTTCTTTTTGCTGATCAACTATATAAATGAGTGTCTAACCGTGCTGTAGACATGTGTCTTTAATAATTTGGCATTTAGTACATCTTAGTTAAATTATTTAAATAAAACTGTCAGTGTTCCGCCCTCTTCAGGTAAAAACGCTGCACTGCATTTAAATTCAAATCTGCCATCGCTATTGGCTAAGAGGTACCCTATGACGTTAGCTGGTACATTATGATGTCACAATGTCATTGTGAGCCTGTGTGTGTATTTGTTAGCAACTCCACCCTTTCAGTCTGCCAGGCAACATTGCGCTTTAAAGAGCGAGTCACCCCCCTACCAGAGTTTTACTTCACTTCCACTTCCTGTTGGAAAAATGCAACAAATGCTGTTGCCTGGCAGACCGACAGTGCGGAACAGTGCAGAGATTTTACCTGACAGTTTTAGGCAGAAACTTTAAGTTTGAACTAAGATGCACTAAAGTGCCAAATTATTGCCTTCACGTGTCTACAGCACAATTAGACACTCGTTTTTATAGTTTTTCAGCAAAAAAAAGTTGATTTGGGGGGTGACTTGCTCTTCAAGTTACAACATCCAATGTTTTCATCAATACAACACGGAGAAGGTTCTGTCATGATGTGGAGCTGTGTCATAGCAACTGTGTGTGTATGAGAGAGAGAGAGAGAGAGAGAGAGAGAGAGAGAGAGAGAGAGAGAGAGAGAGAGAGAGAGAGAGACAGACAGAGAGAGAGAGACAGAGAGACAGACAGAGAGAGAGAGAGAGACAGACAGAGAGAGAGAGAGAGACAGAGAGAGAGAGAGAGAGAGAGAGAGAGAGAGAGAGAGAGAGAGAGAGAGAGAGAGACAGAGAGAGAGAGAGAGAGAGAGAGAGAGAGAGAGAGAGAGAGAGAGAGAGAGAGAGAGAGAGAGAGAGACACCTGTCATGAGTCTCAGCTGGAAGTCCAGGCTGAGATCAGCTGACCGGATGGAGACCAAAGGAGTCCAGGTCGGCCTCAGAGCTCCGCTGCTCACAGCAAACCTCCTGCAGGTGAGAGCCACAAATTACCTCAGCTGTTCAGATGCGTCAAAGAAAGTAAGATTAGTTAAATGTATAATAAACTGATGGTATTAAAGTGTTACTGGGTTTTGGTTTATTAACCATTACATTTACAAACATGTTAATTAGGAAATAACTAGTTCTTGGTTCCTCACTGACCCTGATGGTAATCAGCTCAGACAATTAAAACATTCTTGGATTATAATAAATAAACATATATTGTATAACAACAACGATTCAGTTTATTTGTATTTTTATTTTACTCCGGTTGTTGGATCTTACCGAGTAGAAATAAACAAATAATTTTTTGTCGGAGTCCGTGTGAAAGCCTAAAGTGTAGCTGTGTCTTTGCGTCTTTTTGAAAGAACAAGTTTTCATCTTAGAGTGAATTTTACAAATTCCTCTTTAGATGTAATTGATCCGAGTTTCCACCTTATTTGGTTCAAATGTCACGAGTAAAACTACACCCACGCATGAAACTTAACGAATAAATAAATTAAATGTCATTTAACAAATCTTCACTACTGATTAGTTTATTTTTTTTACTTTTCTTATTTAAATCATGGCTGTTCTGAAAGCATGAAATACACCTTTTCTCTTTGTATTGACACAAACTCTTATTTTGAAAGTCCTAGTTTAATACGTGAATATTTAGCCTTCAAACTTAAGCAGGTTTTTAAGAATTAAAGAAATTAGTGTTTTATATTTTCTTCTCATAATCCGTCATGTTTATATAAAGTAACTTAAGGTTGTTAAGTATGAAAAATTCCGGTCAAACTTTTGGTAAATCTAACTTTATGGTAAAATACGAACATCAATGATCTAAAACAGCACCAGGAGTTTTTTTTTACCCAAATGTTACATCTGGTTATAAAAGATGTACCCTAACTAAGAGTACTGCTAATGATACTAAATGTGAGTAAATTCATGTTAAACTGCATAAAAAAGTACCTTCTGTGTTTACACATGACGGGCACTGCTGCCACCTCCAGCCGACCAGCACCACCATCTGATGGTGGAGTAAAATACAACAGGAGCAGGTTGGTGTAAAGGGCTTCGGTCTCTGTAAACTGGAACACACACACACTCTGCCGGGTTAAACCAGTGGGGCGTTGAGCAGCTGCGATCTGGGTCAGCAGCACCAACCATCACTCTGCTCCCACACCCCGCCAGAGGAGCCCAGATGACGAAGTCTCCATCAGATGACAGCCAGGTGGAGCATCCACCTCCTGCAGCGCCATCAGCTCCGAGTCTCATCCCGACCAGCTCCACCGCTAACCTGGAGCCTAACAGACGAGCCCTCATCAGAACCTCCATGCTGTCCTCGTGACACGTCACCACGAGAGTCTGGTCCTCGCCATTGTGAGGTGCATGGAGAGGTTCGGTTTGATGAGTGAAGCTTCTAACCAGGTTTAAACAAAACAAAGGTCCAAACATGAGGTAACCGGAGAAAGGAGGCATGGTTTGGTGTTCCTCTGTCAGCATGAGCCAAGTGGAGCACACCTGAGACCCATCAGGCTTTAATCAGCACTTTAACCTCACTCAAGAAGCATAATTAAATAGAAACAGTCCACAACGATGTAAAAATGCTTTTTAATCAGCATAAAAAACTGTACATAATATATGGAGTTAGGAATACCAGAAAATGGGCTTGATCTGCTGTAAAGTGTCACAGTAGTGCAGTTGGGGAATATAAAACAGTTCAATAGGTCACTAGGTAACTTCCTCCTCCTTAATCTGGAATAAAATCCAGGAATTTAATCAAAAACATGTTTTTAATCCATTTAAAAAGTCAGAGTGTAGCATCGTCTTCAATGTTTTTTGTCTTAAAGTTCTCCAGCATCATGAGTGTTTTCTTCTTCTGCACTTGGTTCCTCCCCTGCTCCTCCTTTAACACCCAGGTCACCTTTCCAAACCTCATTTAAACATTCTGCAGGGAGAAGGAACAACAACACTAATTATTCCCAGTTTGATGCCAACTAGATAAAACTGAAAATCTTTGTTCCAGCCAAATGCAAAAAGACTTCAGTTTGTCTTACTTCTGTCTGACGCCTCCAGGACATGCTTCTCACACAGGAAGTCCTCCAGCCTCTGGTCCTGATGGTGGAAGTACCAGTCCTCCACCACCTCCTCATACTGCTCCAGCATCGTCTCACACTGAACACACATGACCCAGGCAAACATTGATGTTATGATGATTACGGCGGCTTTAGTTCAACTTTAGGCTCTATGCAAGAAGACTTCTACTAAAATAACTCTGTGCTTTAAAGTCAAGCATTAGTGGGCGTCACAATCTAAATTTATGAGATTATTCATTCTGACTACACGAGGACAGAAACTTCAGTACAGTGAACAAAGATCGTAAGTCTAGTACAGTGTTTGGGGTGTCACGCCGGAGACACACCGGCTGCGGAAGCGCCGCGAAAATGGGCCCGCCTTCATTCGGCGCTCTTGTTAAGCTATTCTATAGACCACATGGGCCGCTGACGCAGCGCGAATCTCCTCGCGCCAGCGCTCCAGCCCGCGCCGTGCAGCAATCGTTTCGGCGTCTGCTCTATTTTTTCGCGAGCCGCGGGTGAATCGCGTCAATTCTGGCAGGAAGTCAAACGTAGACATAAGAGGCAGGCCGGTAAATTTAACAAAATAAAGCATTTCAAAATAAAATTCCGCAATAGTCAAATGTGTTCGTAAACAGACACTGCAGAAAAACCACACGAACACATACACACGTACACACACATCAAACTTGTGTGCGTGTGTGACCACGTGAAGGGGGGTGTGGTTTTGGGTGTCTTTTTTCTGGAGCAAACAGGACAGAGAGGCAGAAAGTCTGAGGCAAGCAGTTAAGATGGATGACTTTAAATTAATTATGGAAGTTGAGAAACACAAGGAGCTGTACGACCCCCGAAAAACATGGTTATTTATCAACCCATTTTGGAGGAAACTGCTAGGATACAGCTGCAGAATTGGAGCGGGTTCCAAGAGATTCAACTGGCAGAAACAACTCATACCGTAGGTTCACACACACACACACACACACACACACACACACACACACACACACACACACACACACACACACACACACACACACACACACACACATGTACAAACACACACACACACACACACACACACACACATGTACAAACACTCAAACGTAGAGGAAAAGAGCTGAGAAAAGGCAGAGAGGAAATGGAGGACACCAAGTGTTTAAAAGAAAAACTACAGCTGAGCCGAGGCGCGCCTCGACTGGGGCGCGTCTGATCTGAACTGAGGAGCGGCAAGCAGCGGCCGAATTTCGTGAGCGATTTGCTTATCGGCACTTCCGTGGCCGGTGTGTCCCCGGCATCAGTCTACACCAGGGGTAGGCTATCCAGCAAGTTTTAGTTGCTCCAACACTCCTGATTCACTGGTTCAATCACCACACCAGGTTATTAAGCAAATACGGTTAAAAATATGGTTCACTGAGGGCATTTCTGTATGTAAACGAATGGACACGAGCACCTGGGTATGCACATGAGGGATTTATCAGCAGTCGATTGCAGTAGCCGGACCAGCCAGCCCCATGCTTCCTTATTGGTTCTGGCAGGCCGGGCTACGACTGCAGAGGAGCATCTGTACGAGAGGCCGCTGCGTGGTGTCTGACTGCTCGTACGAACAGGAAGGAATACAGGACTATTTCTATGAACATAGGGCTGTGCAATAATTCCATAATAATGTAAAAGGGAGGGAAAAAAGAAACTGCGTTAGAGAGAAGGGAGGAAATGAGTATGGTGTGAAGTCACTTCCTGTCACCGTATCACTGTATGTGGTGAATCATGTGCTGCAGCAGAACCTCGACTTGAAGAACATCATCAATAGAATTTAAATCTTGATTTACGCAAGAAAAACGAACGCAATTCAATCTTTTCCTGAAATCGTTCAGTTCTAGTAAAATAAAGACGTTTAAATAAAATGTTGAATTCAAGACAGCTGTTGTCTGTTCTTTACTGAGAGTAGTTAATTAAGAAATCGCATAAATGGCCAGGGCTGCACTTAAAATATGTTTTCTACATTACATAATAATTATTGATATTGATCAATAAGAATTACTTTCATCGATATGCATTGTTTTCTATATCGTCCAGCCCTAAATGAACGTTTGATGAAACAGTCCCCTGAACTGCCTCGCCCTGATCTTCCCCAATACAGAGCATCCGGAAAGTACTCATAGTGCTCCACTTATTCCACTGTTTTGTTTATGTTACAGCCTCATTCCAAAATGGATTCAATTCATTTTGCCCATAAAATTCAACACACAACATCCCATAATGATCATGTGAAAAAAGGTGTCTTTGAAGTTGTTGCAAATATATTCAAAATGTGTGTTGAATACTTTCCGGATGCACTGTAGTATCCAATTCTGATCCTCCAGGGCCACCATCCTGAAGTTTACCTCCTGCTTTTTATCAGCGGGTGTTCAGCAGATATCTTCAGAGGTGATTTCCTGTTTTGAATGGAATTACTGAAATACATCAACTTTGTTGTGATATTCTAATTTTATGACCAGCACTCGTAAATTTCTGCTACCTTCTGAGGAGCTGTCAGCTCAGACTGCAGATAGCAAAGTACGAGGAAAACGTTTGTCACTTGTCTGGGTTCCCACTCTTGAAATGATTTTCCAGGACCTTTTCAAGACTTTCTCAGCCGTGTTGAGAAATCTAAAGACTTTTGGGGAGATTTGGGTGAGAACTTTAGAGAGTTTCGGGAGATTGGGTGAGAAATGTATTAATTTAGAGAGACTTTAAAAGATTTGGGAAGAAGGGGGGAGAGAGAGAGGGTTCCCACGCTTTTCTTGAATGGACTTTGTCAGAACATTTATCTTTATCAGCTGTTTGGAGACATTTAGAGACTTTCAGCGAGATTTTTCAAGACTTTTGCAAGATTTCGCAGAGAAATTTAGAGATTTGGGGTGAGACATGTATAGATTTTGCACACGTGCACTTTGATCTTGATTACAAACAACACAGCTGAATTAAACACTTGAATGACCTTTTTAAGACAATAGAGATGAGAATTTTTTTGGCAAGAAATTTAGAGACTTTTGTGCACGCACGCGCGCACACACACACACACACACACACACACACACACACACACACACACACACACACACACGTCAATTATGATTATCAACAACATGGCTGAATAAATATTGTAGTTAAATGTAGTTATTAACACTTTTGAGATGGTTGATGTTTATTAAAAAATACACATAATAGCAGTGGAAAGCAGCAACAAGGTTCCAACTAGGGATGAGCGAGTACCCCAATATCTGTTTCTGTACCTGTATCTGTTCAACCATCTAAATTATCTACATCTGTACTAGAAGAGGGCGTGGCCTAACCCGGGAGTGGGTGTGGTTTAGCCAGAAGTGGGTGTGGTTTACATCAATCCATCAGAAGTTGCTATGTGTATTGTTTATTTAAAAACTGTTTACAGAGCAGCCTCAGCATTGTGATTAAATAGTTTTGATCACAATAGTAAAGGAACTATTACAGAACAAGTGTTTCAATAAAACCAGAACATTAATATTTAAGTGCATGAATTAAGAGAGAGAGAGAGAGAAACCCAACTGGAGCGGAGGCAGTGACCGAAGCATGCATGAGCCGTTTTCAGCTCTGTCTTGTCAAATGCACCATGTCAGTTACGAACAAAGTAACTTTAAATATTCAAGCGAAAAAGAGGCGAGCTGAAGAAAATCTAGGGACGACTGAAGAAACGTGATCACAGTGAAGCAATCACAGAGATCTGTTACCGTGTGTGTGTGTGTGTGTGTGTGCATGGATGGACCGGACGGACTGCGCTCCCGGCCGGCTAGAGAGTTTTGTGTGTAGGGAGGGGCGGGCGCTCTATGTGACTGGCCAATCACAGAGCGTGAACACAGTCAGTTAACCAATGAGGATTTTCCTTCAGCACGATTACAGATATTTACGAATTTTTCTCGTTTCATGCTCGTATTCGTCAAAAATGCTTTATCCGTATCGGATACTCATCTGAAACGGGTATCCGGCTCATCCCTAGTTCCAAACTTCTCTTGAAATGACTTTCTACAACTTTTGGCGAGAAATTTTGAGAGAAATTTAAACAATTTTGGGAAATTTTAGCAAGACTTTTGGGAGATTTCAAAGAGAAATTTAGCAACTCTCGGCAAGAAATTCAAAGACTTTCGGAGAGAAAATTAGGCTTTTGGAGAAATTTAGAGATAAGCCAAGATACTCTGGGAGAAACAGACTTAAGAGCAAGTAATGCCTAAATTAACTTTTTTTGCTGATAACCTGTATAGATAATGGTGCTGTACACATGTGTGATCATTAGTGTGGCAGTTTAGTGCAACTTACTTTAAATTTAACATTTCAGCCCAAAACCACAATTATATCTCCATCTTCAGGTTAAAACTCTGCTCCACATGTATGTAGAACCAGCTGTGGCTGATGGCTAAGCTGAAAAGCATGGCGTTGTCAGCAAATTACTACATGGCTGCACCGCACTGGTCTCCAGGTGAGCTGACGCTGAAGAAGCCGGCAGCCGTCGGCGAAACTGTAGCTACAAACAGGTAAACAAAACTGTTTCTGTGTTTAAAAAAGAACGAAAGCATGGATTTAGAAAGACACAGCAAGAACACACCTAAGATGTTCAAATGAAGTAATTGTTTTAATGTTTAGAGCAGCAGAAACTCTGAGAGGCTGCAGGCGCATCAGTGAGTTTGCGGCTGCTGCGCAGGGGGAGGGGGGAGAGGGCTGAAGCAGGATGCAGAAAGTACCGTTGTTAAAAGAAATGTGTTTAACTTTGAAAATGTGGGCGCAGTTTTAATTGTCAAAAACTCCAGCGAACCATTAGTTCATTTTGCTCAAATAGAAATAGAGGCCTGCCTCTAATTCTGGCCCTCCTTCCAATAAAGGCCTGGAGCTTGGTGCGCTTGAGTCAAATACAGGCCCGGGCCTGTATTAGAGGATTTACGGTATTAAAACAGAAACTTGCCGATTGATTCAGTTAGTTTTTTGAGTAGAACTCCGGACTGGCCACCGGGGAAAAACTCTCTAACCACCGCATCTCTTAATAATAATAATAATAATAATAATGCACTGAACTTATATAGCACTTTTCAAGACACCCAAGGACGCTTTCACACTCTCTCACATTCACACACTGCTAGTGATGGTAAGCTACACGCTACAGCTGACACAGCAAAACGGTCCCTTCAGCTATTCAGAAACAGCTGTTCTACACGCAAACGATTTCATTTAGCTGTTGTGATCCGGGAGACGACTCTGAACCAACCTGCTCGTACTGTAGTATTTTCTATGAACTTCGGTAACTTGGGGTCACCCGACCCCCTGACATCTCGGACCCGAAGGAGAGTCTCCTCAGGGGTACGTAGAACACAGTAAGAATGCGTCTGATGCTGTTTTGATAAAAACCAACTTCATAGTTTAATGCAGACCAAATTCTTTTCACACCCAGAACTCAGTTTCTTCTAGATACGAGGTTCTGATAAACACATCATACATCCCATCCCATCCACTTATATTCATCCATCACATTCGTCTTACTTCAGGGTTTCCCCCAGCGCTTTATAAGCCTGCTTTGCTTGCCCACCCGCCAGGCTAGACGTCATGCCCCGCCCCCCTCCCTGACCCTACCGTGTCCGCTGACACAAACGGCGCAGCAAAACTAGAGCCCTCCATCAGCTGATACTGGTGAGAAACAGCAGCGATCACAATCACAATCTCCCCCCCCCACACACACACACACACACACACACATACACACACACACACACACACACACACACACACACACACACACACACACACACGGCCGAAGCCGCCAGGCTTAACTCATTTTCTGGGGGAAACCTAGCCTAGTGAACTAGACCAAATTCTTCCTTTGCAAAGTTTGGTCTAGGAACGCTCCACTGGAACCTCTGCAGCCCCTAACAGCATTCTGGCTGGCCAATCACAGCTCTCTAGAGGGGTTTCAAACACACAAAGAGCTGTGATTGGTCCATAATGGTGGGCCAATCATAGTGCTCTATCTGCTGAGTGAACAAATCACAGAGCTTTATCCGCTTTCTGGGCCAATCAGGGACCTCTACATGCCCCACAACCGAGAGCCGTCAATGGAGCGTTGCCAGACGAAATAATACATTTATTTATAACTTGTCTTGTTTTTAATTTGTTTAGAAAATAAATTCTTACTTTTTATTAACCTGACTGTCTGAATTGATACGAAGTGTGTTTGATCACTGAAAAAGCAAAGAATCCAAGAATCTTCTGATTCAAAGACCAAGCAGAGTGATACTCTATATTTATATAGAATATCACAGCTAATTGGTCATAAGTAAAGGTAATATATTAAGCTTAAAAGCAACATATGTACCCTTCTACACGAAGAAATCGACTGTTTTGGGAAGAAATTTAGAGGTTTTTTTGGGACATTTGGGGGAAACTTTACAGACTTTTTTAGAGATTTCAGGGAGAAATCTCATGTTTCTTACATGTATGCCAATCTGACAATGTATGGTGGTTGGACAAAACACCTTCCTACCTGTTTCTTCATGTCCGTCACCTCCACGGACGGTTCATCCCAGAGCTCGTACGGCAAGCCCAAGTCCACTTTCACTCCTTTGTCCACCAGATTTTTCAGAGTCATCATCGTCTGACTGGAACCCTGCAGTCATATAGATTCAAAATAACGGCGTGGAGAAATGACTCTTGTTTCATTAGCCGTAAGCTAATTAAACACCAGGTAGAATGGTCAGGTGGGTTACCTTGGCGTATCGGAGACTGCCAGGTCGCTCAGCATGAACACTATACTGCAGAATGCGCTCACAGATGTTATCCACCGCCTCAGCCAGGCGCGTTTCTCTGATATTAACCACAAACAGAACTCTAGTGAAATCACACGAAGCTGATGTTGATTCCCATTTTTAGTTCCCGTTTTGGAAAGGGCAATTCCACCCAAAATTCCCGCTTCCTAATAGCATCGTTCATTTTCTCCTATTAAAAAACGACAACACCTGTACTTTTCAGATCTGAACTAGGCTATTCCAGACCAATGTCACATTCCATAAAACATATCTAATTTCTGCATATCCACGGCATCTAGACCCCACTGAAGCTGGTCAGGTGTACAGAACACCGGATCAAAAACCACACCTGGACACTTCAAACCTGGAATGAATTATTCTAGACTAATAGCAGATTCAATAAAACATAGTTTGCGATTTCTTAAACCTTTATCTGATTTCTGAAACTTCAAAAAAAGGCTGATTTTTTGCACTTGTGCTTTTTTTTTTTTGTTTTTTTTAGCAGCTTGACCACGCTGGAACCGGCCACGCGCTGACTAACAGATTCCATAATACGTAGCTTGTGGTTTGTGATTCGATTTTGCACACGTCGCGCGCCGGTCTATGAACTCACGAGGTGTTGTATTTGATCTTTCTTCTTCTCCTGCCCGTGTCCAACACTTCTCCGACTTCCAGAACTTCTTTGGACCGAACGGTTTTCCCCAGAGCCTCCTGCAGCTCGACTGTCAGGAACTTGCACACTGACAAACAGGGACAGTACCGAGTTCAGGTGGCGCGAACACTTGTAAACAATCCGTTAGAACCGTGCAAACTAGCTTTTGTCGTCCTACCTTCACATTTATTAGGCAGTCTGCCGTCCTCGTTCGCTGTAACAAAGCTCCCGATATACAATAAAACCAGAACTAAGACTTTCATTATGGCCGTTTTAAAACTTTTTCACCACTACTACTACTCTTAAAAAGTTCAGCCACATCAACCTTCTTGTTTTCACTAATGCACATGAGCGCTGTGTTAGCGAAGACACGACTAGTCGATCGCTGTCGCTTCGATCTCAGGGTAGATAAATGATAGAAGAAAACAAAATTGTACATAAAACACAACAATTTGAAACAAACGTTTTCAATGACTGGTACTATAATGCGAAAATACAAACAAATGAACAAATGGCAAACTTTGATTATCAGTCCAGATAAGTTTGTACGTTTTTTTAAAGAAAGGACAATAATCTAAGAAGATATCATAATTCAAAATGTGAGTTATGTTTATATAAACTGTTTCTCAGAAATAAAACAGAATACATTCGATTGTGTCGACATTGGGATGATTATTATTAGTAGATATTGTGTTCATAGTCATTTATAAGAAGTATCAGCCTATACAAATTTTATACCATTAATAGAACATTTAGTTAACATTTTGAATAATTTGTCACAGTCTTTAATGTGTGTCTATTTCACTTTTATGGTTTGTTTTAGTAACAATAATTATTTTTCACGTATCCTAAAAATTACTTTATAGTGATAAAATATTTGGTAGTTCTGCTTGCTTTCTTAAATCTGAAGTGAGAAGTTTTTTCCTACAGCCTAAACTCACTTTAATATTATACAATTCTTCTAACTAAATAATGTCTGAAAGAATAAATTTGTTCCGTTGAATAAAAATATCCTATAAGTCACTCCATTTGGAATATTGCTAATTCTCAGCAGCATGAACAAAATTTGACTTTTTATAACCTCTCATCTAGGCATAAGAAACACATTTCAGCTCCAGTTATTATGTAAAATAATAAAAAATAATATATTTTAATAAATCAATACAAATATCTGTACTCCAACTTGAGGAAACATGTTTATTTTTTACTCAATTTTGTAATCATCTATCACTTGTTTTATGATATTTTTTATATTACGACTCTGTTTTTCTGATTCTAATTAATTTCTGTTTAAAAAACATGATTTTATGATTTGTGTTGTTTTTGATCTACGTGAAGCCCTGTGTGATTCTCAGTCTGTGATCAACACTATATAAATAACCTTTCGATGTAGAAGACTTTAGACCTATAGATAGCTTCTCAGTTTCCCCATTTTAGCTCTTAAAGTATGTCTTAAAATAACCAGCCTAAAATAGAAAAAGAAGAACGGCCTCATTTGAACAAAACCGCACCTATTTGGTGTTTTCTCTCTTTGAATTGATAAACGCTGTGGACACTTGGCTTGAAGTTTGGCAGTGAAGCAGTTAAAATAGAAGGTGGTGGCCTCTTGGTTTCTCAGGTGTCAGGGGCAGCAAACTGGATAGCAACCGATCCTCCAGGAGTGTGTGAGGAGGACGCTACAAAGGAGGAGAAGGAAGGAGGAGAAGGAAAAGGCTAAGTAGCAAAGAGCAGGAGTCATGATGAAATGAAAACTAAAGAGGTGACTGAACGGATGGAGAGGAAGAAAGGAAGGACACTATCATCAAAGAGAAGCAGTAAGTAACACACACACACACACACTTTTGTTCATGTTGCAGCTGAGCAGTCTCCAGGTGTCAAAGGATAAAGTGTCTGAAACTCAAGAGTAACCGTAGCAACCGTAGATTTGAACTGGTCCAAGGTTTCCCCTTAATTGTCTTTAAACGTGTGCTATGTCACATTAGCTTGACTTGGTGTGTATTGTTTCTGCAGATGAAGCTGAAGGTACACACTCACACACACTTGAGCTTCAGTTACACTCACACACACACACACACACACACACACACACACACACACACACACACACACACACACACACACACACACACACACACACACACACACACACACACACACACACACACACACACACACAGATGATTCAGCATCATAAGGAGACCGGCAGCTCTCACATCCAGCTGATCCCTGATCAGAAACAGAGGTGATGCACCAGACTCTGCTGACAGCTTCAGTGGGAAGAAGTGGTGCAGAAGCAGTCATCTGGACTTTAGCAGCTGCATCTGGTTCTGAGGAGAACAGCAGCAGCATTATAAAATGACAGATTCCCTGATCCACAGCAAGAGCTCAAACTTTCAAGAGAATAAACTTCTGGTGCGACTTGAAGGTAGAAATATAAAATAATGTCTGATAATTGTTGACATTTCTGGATCAATTACTGCAGACACATGTTCTATGGAGCACAAAACCTTGTTCTTGCACATAATTAATGTATATGTGATGGGATGTATAATTATTTATTATTCATGTGTTAGTGAGTTCATGTTTAAGTTAGGATTTAGTTTCAAGGCAGAGGTCTGTCTCATTTTGCTTGTTTTTCTGTGACCTTTGTTGATTCTTCCTCTCTTCATGCTGCCGTTTCTACCAGTTCTCTTTCTCAGAATACCATGATAACCTCTTCTTATTCATTTTTTCTTCCTTAATATTTTTTTCCTAATTCATTTTCTTTTTCCCTATTTTTTATAACATTGTTTCCCATTTTTTAATGTGTTGTTCTTGTGAAGCGCCTCTTGATTTTTATCTTGAGCGGTGCTGTATGAAAATTGTTTATTATTACTTTTTTACTCTCAAACCCAACTCTAGCTCTGAATTAGCTTCATGTTTTCAGCCTTTTCTTCTTAGGACATTACTGATGAATAAATACATAAACATTTGTAAAAATGTTGAAATAATTTTACTTCCCTTTAAATATATAAAATTTATAATTAATCAAGATTCACACCAGTGTGACAGCTAGTGGGACTGGAACTTAATTTGTTATGTTAATTTTTTCCAATGAAGAAACATAAAAGATACAAAACAGGCATTTGCCACCTGCAGCTATAAGATCTTCCACTAGAGGGCAGCTGACATGGATGGGAGCATCTGTTGGAGGTGAGAACTAATCCTGTTAAAGAAGTAGAGGTCTTAAAACCTTAGAAATGAACATATGAACTTTCCATTTGGTTTATAGCGTTAATGTTTATTTTAGAATACTTTCATGGTAAAAGTTTTTTTTTGATCAACTTTTTTTCCTTTAAATCAGAACCACAAAACAAAGATAACAATAACATGCACATATATTTGTCTGTCACCATCACAAGCATGACATGTCACGTCCCGCTTATTTAAAGATACATTAATAGCTGCACCCGCTTATTCAAGTAAACAGAAATATGGGACAAAAATTTACAACCCCCCCCCCCAAATAAAAAAAAAAGAAGAAGAAATCAGTCCAGAGCCTCAGTTGCTGCACATTGACTCTCACAATTTGTCCGGAGGTGATCAATAATGGGCCATTCCCATCTGTACCGGGTCGGCCCGGGCCGGGTAGCGTAGGTTGTTTATGGGCCATTCCCATCTGTACCGGGTCGGCCCGGGCCGGGTAGCCCCAGTCGGCCCCAGCCTGGCCCGGTTGATTCCACACATCCTTGTCTTAAGCCCATGTGGGCTGATTCTACCCACCAATCAGAGGCTTGCTCTAATAGAAGGTGTGAATTTGCTGTCAGCAGTGGGTGTGTTGGCCCTGGTCGGCCTGAAGCAGACCCCCTCGGGAAGAGGGCTGAGAATGAGCCTTGGTTGGCCCGGAAAAATACCAGGCCACCCAGATATGTAAACATCCTACGCTACCCGGCCCGGGCCGACCCGGTACAGATGGGAATGGCCCACACCAGTTCTCCAGGCCTCAACTGTAGCGCTCCCAGCCCTGTGCACTCTTGCTACAGAAAGTTCCAAATATGCTATGTCCAAAAACAATGTCGTCCAGGCATACACGAAGAGGCAATGTGGTGGTTTCCAACGTGTAGCCACCATTTTCTTTGCTGCCGTAAGCCCGGCCAACAGCACCCTCTGCACCACCACCTTCAGCTTTATTTGTGAAAAATCATTTAGGATGAGTACCCCCACCAAGCATGGCACCGAGCAACCCAACAAGGCAGACAGCCTACCTGCGACCTGTCTCCAGAAATCCATGACTGGGGGGCACTCCCAAAACATGTGTTTAAACGTGCCAACTCTATCCAAATCACAGAGTTTGCAATTGGGATCTCTAATAATTTTCATCGCATGCAATTTTTTAGGAGTAAGATAAAGCCGGTGTATAAAATTATAGTGGATTTGTTGGTGGTCAGGATTTCTGGAGTACAGGCCAACTTTCATGGTAAAAGTTAAAACTCCTAATTATGTATGTTTATTTATACAACAATATGAAAGCATGAATAATCAAGTCCCTAAATTCTCATAAATACAAGGTAAAGAGCTGCAGCGTTTCAATATTTCTTTAACAAATTCCACAGGGATTACGTCGAGCATAGCAAACGGGTTCCGCGAAGAATATTCCCTTTATTCAACAGTCATCAGCAAAGGTGTGCATCTTTTGCAAAGTAGCGACTGTAAAGGAGGAGGGACATCAACCATATCCCAGAGGAGCTATAGTTACTGCTCATCTATTTAGGAAAGCTCATAAGTCATTTATGAGACAGCTAAGTGTTGCTTCTAAACTAACAGCTGTGCTTCTGCACCAGCTTCCATCAGGCAAAGACTGAACAGATGTGTTCCCCCAATGGACCCCACAATGATTGGCTAAAACTAAGCAAATCATTTCAACTCAAGAGTCATGTCTTTACAACGTGCAGCGGACTCGTAGCACGGAGTCTGATCCTAATCTGATCTCAGGCCAGTCTGCTGTTTCCACTGTTACAGCTCACTGGCTACACGTGTGTCTTACTAGCTCTGTGACCTTTAAAAACACCATCATACGGTCTTAAAGCAGGTTGTTGTTATAGTAGTGTCATGTTTTAGGAGGCATTGGACCCAGGGTGCAGGTGTACTCAAAATACTTCAATAATAAGACTGGAGGGTCTGATAAGAGGTGCACGAACCAGGGGAGCTACCATACCGAGGGATGTGATTGCAAAGCAGGAACAGCTGAGCAGATGGCTGATGGGGAACCGGTGTGCACACTTGGGGATCTGAGGGGAAAAACACAACTGAACCAAATAACCAGCAGACTATGTCAATTAGATTTGATGAAGCTCAACTTTCTGGGTCTTATGGTTTCCCTCTGACATCACCTCATACTGTCAGCATGGTGGTGGACGGCTGATTTGGGGACCTTGCTGCAGAGAATTCTTCAGTCAGCTGTGAGGCAGCTTAGGTTAAAACTAAATGATCTCCCTCACCCATCTAGGAAAAGATTTAGGGCCCACACCACCTTGTTTTCAGCGATAAAATCAAGAGCATTGTGAATAAGCCAAGCCTTAACGTTGTCCATCACCAGTAACCATAAACACAGGCCACACGTGTGTGTCATGATGCGGTGTAGAAATCTAACCCACGACATACAGAATCAGCATAGAGACAGGTGTAAAGTGTTTAAATAAGAATTTATTAAAAGGGAAACCAAGGAAGCAGCATAAACAAAGCCGAGTTCTTTCACCAGGGAGTCGGTGCGGGAAATCTGTGCACAGATGGAAGTTAGATCCAACTCGAGGAGGGAACAAGGAATCTGAATTGTGCGGAGGACTTGCAGTCTGGAGAGGAGGGAACTAACTCGAGGGAGGAGTGGTCCGGTCTGGGCTGGGCTGAGAGGGTTTTCCTGGGACTGAGATCCAAAAAGGTGAGACGTAGAGGGACCTGAGTTTGTGGAGACCCAGGGAGCTTAGGTGGGCAGCTGGAGGTGGTTCTAGACAGGGAGCGGCTGAGAGACAAGCAGGTTGGAGTTCCAGATGATAGGAGTTCCAGAGTTCAGCCAGTCAGAGATGAAGGTGGAGGTTTTATCTGGTGAACAAGAGCAGGAAGGGTAAATGCAAAATCCAAGCTCCAAAACACATCTAAAAAGGTCCAAAAGGCTCGAATATAGTACTAAGAGGTGGCTTAGAAGGTACCCAGGTAGAGTAATCATCCAGCGAAGTGTAGAAGTCTCTCAGCTGCATAAATACACCTGGCCGGCTGATGAGCAGATCTGCTGCAGCTTGGTCAACCTCCAGACACGCCCACCTGCAGAGGGAAAACTCAAGAGACAGGGAGTGACAGCAGGAATACACCTCAGACCGTGACAATTCGATGTCAGAGCATTTTTGTTGTGAGCAGTGATGTAGCTAAACCTAAAAGTCTGGTTATTTACGTCCACAAGTAAAGGCTGACAACAGAGAATTTGCAAATCTCCACATTGATTGGAGATATTTGGTTCTGTTCCTCACTTTTGTGTGGTTGACAGTCCAAACTGTGGACAAATAACTTAGTTTAGTGGGAGACCTAGCTACGTGTCTACGAGGGTCTACGGGGCTGTTCAATTCTGGGCCTCGAGGGCCGGTATCCAGCATGTTTTAACCCTGCTTCACCACATCTAATTTCAATCAGCAGGTGATTAGCAGGTGAGCTGCTGCACAGGTGACTCAACCACTCAAACTAGTGTGTTGGACCAGAGAAATCAGTAAAACATGCTGGATACTGGCCCTTGAGGCCCGAACTTGAGTAGCCCTGGTCTAATGCATTTATTTTCTTTACTCGGTCGTTGTGATCATAGGGTAAGAGATGCATTACAAGTGACAGGTATATTATAGAAGCCAAAACATGTCAAACATGGTGAAGATCTGGGTCACGCAGCAGAACAATGATCCCAAACACTATAAACACTGAAGCAGAAAAAAAAATGTGTTGCATTGGTCTAACTAAAGTCAAGACCTCAGCCTGATAGGGATCTGGTGGTGGGACCTTTACCAACATCTGCAAACCCCAATCAACTGAAACAACCAACAGCGGTCCAAAACTTCTCCGCAAGGATGCGAGAAACACACCTGGTCATGCAGATGAAGACTTCTCTATCCACTAGAGCAGGGGTGTCAAACTCATTTTAGCTCAGGGGCCACATTGAGGGAAATCTAGTCCCAAGTGGGCCGGACCGGTAAATTAAAAACAACTTCAGATTGTTTTCTTTGTTTTAATACAATCAATATAAAACAAGGCTGGAGCCTGAGGACAGTGTATCCAAAATAGTACAAGTACAACACCTGAAGTGTACTTGAAAATTTGAAAAAAATAAAAATAAAAAAATCAACAAATAAAAAAAACATTCCTTAGTGATTCAAAGAGCTTACTGATCACATGGCAAGATCAATTTCATGCAGCACTTAAAGTATATTTGACTCATTTTACTTTACATCTTTTAGCTTTCACCAGCACATCAATATCAGAAGTCACATCCTGAGTGGCAGCCAACTTCAGGATGGGATTCAAGTTCTTGTGTGAGCCTTGAGCGCAGCTTTGTTTTATTTATACTCATTACAGAGGAAACTTGCTCACAAAGATAAGTTTATTTTCACTCTACATAGTAAAGTATGAAAATAAAGTTTACACAACCATCTCGCGGGCCGGATTTAACCCGCTTGCGGGCCGGATCCGGCCCGCGGGCCGCATGTTTGACACCCCTGCACTAGACCCTAGTGATGACAAATGAACCTGCTTTAGTAAAACAACTGTTCAGTTTTTGTCGTTAAACTTGGGAAAAGGGCGTCCCAAACTTACACAAAGACTGATTGGTTTGTGCTTCTAACAGCTAATAGAAAACCAGTCCTAAGGCTGAGTTTCTTTGCCAAACATAGATTTATTGGACCACGATTGGCTGACATCACAGAGCATTAGCTCTCAGCCTCTGGTGCTGCTGTGCCTGTCAGATCTGGACTCTGCTACCAAACAAAACCTCGTGTGTCTCAGAAATAAAAAAGAAGTTGTTCTTTGATTTCCTGCAATACAAATTGGTCAATTAAAACTTTAATAACTAATCCTACATCTTCTCATCATGTTTCACTAATCACCTGTCTTCTCTTAACCCAGTTAGATGAGTTTTTTATAAAATATTTTTAACTCGAAAAGAAGAAATAAAAAAAAACATTTCCAGGACAAACCTCAAACTGTGTGAAAAGCACAAACTTAGTTGTGAAAAAAAAATAACGGCTGTTGCCACCATTAGTTTCAGTTTAAAATGCATAGAAAAGTGACCAAATCCTGTAAATTTGCACTTTTTCTGCTGGTACTTTCAGGTTTTCTCTAATGTTCAGTGGCACTTAATCACATTGACCTGAGTGGTATCTGCAGCAGCAGCACCTGTATGGTCTGGATTTTATCCTCAGGGCAGCAAGAGATTTCACTCTGGCACTGTACCAACACACACACACACACACACACACACACACACACACACACACACACACACACACACACACACACACACACACACACACACACACACACGCCGACTTAGACACTCACATGTGCAAACAAGATGCTGAGTCATGAGAGCCCAGCAGTTCATATAACTAATGACTAAAACATTGTGTGTTACGACCGTAGCCCCACAAACAAACACCCTGATGCTGCTGGAGCCCAACCACCCCTGAAAGGAGCTCAGATCTAACAAACTGAATATGATGCGATTTATGCGTACATGTGCAGAGGCTTTGCACTAGACAAAATTAGTTTGTTTGGAATTAATTAGAATGACTTGATTCTTTAGCTTTTCTTTAGAAAATGAAGGGGGCAGGAATTTAAACATAAACTGCAGCCGGCCACTAGGGGGCTTTTCAGTTTTTTAAGCTTCAAAATCAGTGTCTTACATCCACTTTTTAATGCATGTTAAACCTTCAATTCTGCTGGATTGTCTATTACCCTCCAAGATTTAAAGAGGTGCTTTGCAACCTTTTCATAATTTTGAATCATTTTCTTGAGCCAGAATGTGCTAAAATGACCCTTTCCAGGGTTAATGAAAGGCCACCTAGCTAGCCCCTATCGCCCCTGTGGCAAGAATATTCCACTTGCAACTTCAGAGTGCCGCTCCAGTCTGTTAGGACTTAGAAAAAGATTAGCTGACATACCTGGAACTCAGCTAGTAGAAACTAACTATTGTGTATTGGCAACTTCACCACACGGCAGAAGCTCCTCCGGGCTTGTGTTATTTGTGGAGATTAAACATCAGTGTTTCAAATCAGTGGTAAAGGTGCATTGCTGATATCCAGTCGGAGGCGAGATGTCTAATTATTAGGAAAAAAGACTTGTGCCGTGTTGTGCCACTCTCTGCTGCAGCAGACTTGGCCCTGCTGATCCAAGCGCTTCTGTTTACTTTTTTTTTGGTAAGCCATTCATTCCTATCTGAGACCACTGAAAATGTATTGATTACACATTCACTGCCCCTTTAATTGTGGTAAAAATTTGCTGATGCATCAGAAGCATCTCACCTGGGCTAAAGACAAAAAGGACTGGACTACTGCTGAGTGGTCCAAAGTTGGGTTCTCTGACAAAAGTAAATGTTGAAATTTCTTTGGAAATCAAGGTCCCAGGGTCTGGAGGAAGAGAGGAGAGGCGTTGGATGGTTCTCAGTGTCAAGGCGCCTGGCCTCGCAAGGCGATGTCTTGCGAGGCCAGGCGCCTTGCTAACGAGGACAAAGAAAATGGTTAATTGAAAAAGACTTACCTCACATGACAGCAGATTCCGTGGCAATCACGTAAGGTAACGTTATATTTTATATGTCTAAGTTTCAATAAAAATTTATAATGAGCCTTTCACTTTTTAAATTGTGTTGTATATTGGTTAAATGAAATATGTAAGAGAGTTACTACCTGCTAGCCACCGAAGCTGCAACTACAAAGCAACTAACCAATCATAGCTAACTGCTTTGGATATAAAAAAAAACATTTTAGATTTTAGCCCGATGGCTACAATTAGTTGACACACATTCGCCTTGGTGGTTCCTGAGACGTATCTCCTAATTGGGGCGGGACCAAGACATCAAGGCAAGGTTCCTTGGGATTGAGAAACACCCACAGAAACCACGTTGCTTGAGGTCCAGTGTAAAGTTTCTATACTCAGTGCAGAGCCATGTCCAGGACTTTTAAAATGGGGAGGCCCATGTGGGACACTTGTTTATTCATGGGTGGCACCAATGGTTATGTATATTTATTTATTTACTTTCTAGTGAATTTTTGAGTTTCACTTTGCACAATCACCATTTTTTCCCTCTTCATCTTCTACTTTTGTGATGGTTAGCAAGTCACTTCTTGTGGCATGACTGCCACCAACTGGAGTTGAGTGGGACTCTAAATACTATGTATGTGAATATGAAAAAATATTAAATACTGGTAATACTACATGCCTGGGCTAGAAAACAAGGTTAAAGGTGCATGCAACCACACTATTTTGGAGTTTACAACCCAAGCCTTTTGTCGACAATGTAAAGTCAATTTAAACTGGAACTTAGTGGGGTGGCACTTGGGGTGGCCAATCAGATTCTAAGGGTGGCATGTGCTACCCCAGGCCACTCCCTGGACACGCCCCTGACTCAGTGAAGGTTTGGGGTGCCATGACATCTGCTGGTGTTGGTCCATAAATGGAATTACTGAAATAAATCAATTTTGTCATCATGTTCTAACTTTATGACCAGCACCTGTATATCCGTTGATGCATCAAATGCTCGAGTCAGTCACCAATTCTGTTTACCTTCTCCTCCCCCTACATCAGGTGTCTCGTCAGAATGCTGGAGCAGGTGAACGACTTTCAGGGTCAGAACTTTAAAAAGCTGAGGCGGGCCTGCCTGCGTCGAGGCGTGCTCTTCAAGGATCCCCTGTTCCCCGCCACCACCCAATCCCTGTTTTACAAGAGGACTCCCCCACCGGGACTGGCCTGGAAGAGGCCAAGGGTGAGCTTGCCCACGCCTCCTACCCTCGTCCAGTTAAATATAAACAGCATGGCCAAATTTTAAACAGCAGCCAATAGCTGTTTGATACATTTCCCCTCTAATCAAAGCCAGCATGTTGCATTTCTAGAGGGATCTCATTAAAGCACTTTCTATAATTGGACAGACATCAGGCGGAGAAACCTGAGCCCTGAGGGGGTTGATGGACAGCCATGTTAGTTATTGTGCGTGTGTGTGTGTGTGTGTGTGTGTGTGTGTGTGTGTGTGTGTGTGTGTGTGTGTGTGTGTGTGTGTGTGTGTGTGCAGTTGAGTTTAAAACAGCAGTAGTCGGTGTAAATAGCCCAGGTGTTTTTAGAACAGGGTGTAACTTTATCATGGAAGGCTGGTGTCAGCTAGATTTGTTCAGGTCCTCTCTGGAGGGATTGTCTCATGATCTAAGGGCTCATTAGGAAACTAGTTGTCACTTTGCAGTTTGAGGGTTTGTTCCAGCACATGAAAACTTTCCTTTCTGGTTGAAATCAACAGTTCCGAGAGTTTGTTGTGTGCCAACAGCATTTGACGTGAAACCACACTGGAGTTTATCTGATGAGTCAGGGTCAAAGGTTAAGAGTTAGACCGTATTCTAGTGTTTCTTGTTAGTGTGACAGGAGAGAGCTGGACGAGAAAACACACACACACACACACACACACACACACACACACACACACACACACACACACACACACACACACACACACACACTTACTGTCCTAACTGTCCAGTTCTGATGGTCTCATCAGTGTGTAAACAAAAATTCACTACTGGACACTTTTAGGCATCGGTTTCTATTACCAGGCTGGAGACCCTTTTGCCTTCAGATCTGCTTTGATTCTTCAAGGCACAGACTGATTAAAGTGATGAAAACATTCCTGAGAGGTTCTGGTTCCATCCATGATGTGATTCTCCATGTTCCACCACATTCCAAAGGTTCTGGAACGGATTGAGATCTGGCGACTTTTAAGGCCCTCATCACCGTCATGTTCTAGAAACCAGTTAGAGATGATCTGAGCTTTATGACATGGTGCTTTATCCTGCTGGAAGTAGCCATCAGAAGATGGGTCCATGTGGCCATGAAGGGATGGACATGGTGTCACGCGTGCTGGTGAGTGGAGCGGAGGTGAGGATCCACACGCGGGTGAAGAAGCAGGCAGACAAACTGGAAGACGTAAAGGTTTTTAATGATGAACTCACGCAGGACATGGAAACAATGAACCGACAAAACACACAGAACTGAGGCCCTGTCCACACGTAGTCGGGGATCTGCCAAAACGTAGATATTTTTCTACGTTTTGACCTGTCGTCCACACGAAAACTGAGTTTTTTCACACGAAAACGGATCTTTTTAAAAACTCCGGCCAAAGTGAAGATCTGCGTTTTCTCCGTTTTGGGTGTCTGCGTGTGGACGGACAAAACCGGAGTTTTAAGGTCCGCAACGTCACTTTCCGCAACAAAAAATGCTGACATCACGTGTGCGACCTGTGTTTACACTAGCCGACATCATGGATGCCCTTAGAGCTGCGCTCGCTTTATCAATTGTCCAAGCGCTTTTTGCTTGTTTGTTTTTGCAAACGGAATTACTGCTCCTTGCGGAAGACCACAGACGAAGGACGAGATTAAGAACGGGGGAAGTGCTGCCGCCTACAGGTCTGGCATGTCCTTAACAACGTATTTATCCGGGTACTTGTGGACAGAGTTTTTTTTTTAAACGAGGTGGTGTGGATGCAAGTTTTTGGAGGGGCGGATATTCGTTTTGAAGAAGACCCGGTTACGTGTGGACTAGACCTAAGGCTCAGATGGTACTAATGGGTTTAAAGTGAGACCAGGTCATTTCCCCCAGGCCATTACACCACCGGCAGCAGCCAGCATCGATAAAAGTGGTGACGGATCCATGCTCTTATGCTGACACCAAATTCTGACCCGACCATAGAAATGTTGCAGCTGAAATCCAAATCAAACTTTATTTATGTGGGACGTTTCATACAGTTGATGCAGCTCAAAGTGCCTTACAGATTAAAATGGCCCCACATCACCCTCATTCACACACACACACACACATACACACACACACACACACACACACACACACACACACACACACACACACACACACACACACACACACACACACACACACACACACACACACACACACACACACACACACACTAAAAGCAAAAGACAGTAGGACACTGGGCTGAGCTCAGATGAACCACAAACCAGGAGACATTTTTCCAGTCTCTTCTGGTCCGGTTCTGGTGATCCTGTGTGAGTTGTAGCCTCCATTTCCTGTTCTTAGCTGATACCAGCTGCGTGTTCTGCTGCTGGAGTCCATCTGCTTCAAGGTTCAACACCTTGTGGTTAAGAGATGTTGTTCTAAAGATCTTCATAGGAATCTGTAGTTACTGGTGCTACTGCAGCAGTAGCTCAGGTGGTAGAGCGGGTTGCCTCCTGATCAGGAGGGTCATGGGTGCGATTCCAGCTCCCACCAGGGGGTAAAATGCTGTTGTGTCCTTGGGCAAGACACTTCACCCAACTTGCCTGTGTTGGTGGTGGTCAGAGGGGCCAACAGCACCAAATGGCAGCCTCACCTCTGTCAGACCGCCCCAGGGCGGCTGTGGCTACAAAGTAGCTTACCATCACTAGCAGTGTGTGAATGTGAGAGTGCATGAAAGCGTCTTTGAGTGTCCTAAAAAGATAAGTTTAATGTATTATTATTATTTCTGTTGTCGTTATTTCATCGAAAACCAATCTGCCCATTCTCCTCTGACCTCAACAAGGCCTTGTCCTCCAGATAACTGAAGTTCTTTGGACAGTTTCCTTTTTAGACAATTCTCTGTAAACAGTTGAGACGGATGTGGATCCCAGTAGATCAGCAGTCTCTCAAACTCTCAGACCAGACTGGCTTGTGTGTGTTTCCTGCATTAACACACCCGATTTAAAATAAATGGGAGAACTTGAGGACCTGCTGAAGACGCGAGTCAGATGTTGAATCGGGTGTGCTGTTGCAGGGAAACAGCTAAAACATCCATGGCAGTGGTTCTCCAGGACAAGAATGGAACAACCCCTAGATGCCCACATGCACCAAGTAGCTGCCGTCTGATAGGCTGATTAAATATTTGCGTAAATGAGCAATTGAACAGGTGTACTTAATAAAGTAGCAGGGGAGTACACATCTTAAACTCATGGTTTATTGCATGTGTCCATTTTTAATTTAATCAGTTCAAGGGTTAAAGCATTAAAATACTAAACTGTATATACATTTATAATAAAATAGTTCAAACTAAAAGCATTCCTGAATATGGAAAACAGGTTTAAGTTGACCAGAATAACATATCATGATACAAGGAAGCTTAGCATATGAGTGCTGGGTCTCAGGAGATTAGAGGACACCGATATCATCTCGTGATTGTGTGTGTGTGTGTGTGTGTGTGTGTGTGTGTGTGTGTGTGTGTGTGTGTGTGTGTGTGTGTGTGTGTGTGCGTGTGCGTACGCGTGTGTGTGTGAGATCCAGCAGCACTCCTTCAGTTACCTGACTCTAATATCAACATAATCTGCTCGCTCAGCTGTGCTCTGACACTCTGAATCTGCTTCTAGACCTTCTAAAGCTGAGTGATGATGACACTAACTGCTGCTGTCATCATGATCACCGTTTAATCCTAAAGGGCTCGTACGCTGAGAAGCCGTGTTCTTTTTAAATACAATCAGTCACTGGTGCATATGCATGCTTGACAGGAGAAATTTTCTTTAACCCCCATCGCCTCCAAAAGTCGCTAAAAAAACAGGTGGGACAACAACCAGGTCAGAAAAAGCCAGTCTCTTTTATGTCACAGGGTAAACTAGACTCACATACCTTGGTTTGCGACCGCAGAAGGCTCTCTCGGCTAGTATAAGCTAACCGTTAGCATTAGCAGCTCGACAGCATGACTTTGTGTTCAGGCATGTGTTGCGATAAAATATCAAAATTACATTTTTTACCAAGAAAGAAGAGCAAACAAAGGCAGTGGAAGAGTGCTGTGGGTCAATCAGAGGCTAGATGTCCACGTATCATGGAAGTCATCTTCTGCCCTACGCTCCTTCGACAAACCCCTCAAAAGGAGCGCCAGAGTTCTTCTTCTACAGAAAACGACAAGTTCATTCATTCATATGAGCAGATTTGTTGAAATCTAGGTAAAAAAAACTAAATGAGACCTTTAAACTACAACTCAATCGATATGTTTTTCTTTAAGGCCGACGCCAAAACCAGTCTTTAAAGAATTTTGTTGCCGGTGGCCGATATCTAAAGCCAATTATTAAGGCCAATATTTATAAACCTTTGATTGTGAAAGACAGCTGAACACTCACTGTGTGAAATATAAATGAAGTCAATAAATCTCTTAATATTTATTAAACTTCAAATACAAAACAACCTCAAAACATAAAAATAATAAATACATAATGTTGTGTTGGGGTCCTTCGGGTCCTTTCTTCAGTCTAGTAGTGGTGGCAGTTGGCCACACAGGTGCCTGGTTTAAAAACAATTTTTTTATCGACTTTTAAAAATAATTTTGGCCGATGGTCGATATAAAAAAAATTGAATATATCGGTCAGCCTCTACTTTAAAGCTGCATGAACTGAATTTCAAATCAAACATCAGTGACAGGGTTTAGTGGTTAGTAAAGGAAATCTGAAGAATGTTACTCAGGTAAAAAAAAAATGCAAAACAATAGAAACAAAACCATTGTTAAAAAAACGATAAAGCTATTTAAAACAATGCCAGATTTTTACTAAAATTTACTGGATTATTTTTAATATGACCAACTTTTTTGTGTTTTCTTGAATTTTTATGTCAGTCACAGCTGAGGGGAATATTATCTTTAAAACACCATTAATGTGTGTCCAGACAAATCAGTGTTGCTTGTCTCACAATTATTCAGGTTCTACTTGTAATTTTCTGCTATTTTGTTGATTTTAAACAGGAAATATGTAAGGATCCTCGTCTGTTTGTGGACGGCATCAGCACTCGTGACTTGCACCAAGGCAGCTTGGGTAACTGCTGGATGGTGGCGACTATTTCCTGCCTGGCATCTGAGCCATCACTGTGGAAGAAGGTTTTCCTTTCGCACCTTAGAAATCAGTGTCTCACTTCTGTTATTCCTCATTGAATCTGCATTGTCCATCTCGCTTCTTATTGCAGGTCATTCCAGACCATATGGGTCAGGAATGGAACCCAAAACGTCCTGACCTATATGCAGGTATCTTCCATTTTCGGTTTTGGCGCTTTGGCTACTGGACAGATGTTGTGGTGGATGATCGTCTGCCGGTCAGTGAGGATGGACTGCTGCTCTTCTGTCGCTCTGCCACACCAAGAGAGTTTTGGAGCGCCCTTCTAGAGAAGGCCTACGCCAAGTAAGCAGCAGCAGAAACTATTAAAACACCACACCAGCATTATCTTTAAAGTGACAGTGTGTAGTTTTCTGGCGATAGGAGGAAGTACCTACATAAACCATCGCCAGCAAGTGGTATTTTTGTGTTTGAGTGATGACCTTACCAATGAATGGCCATTAAAGCAGAAAATCCCTGGGAGTGTTGTGTTATTTGTTTTTTAAAACATTATTTAAATGAACAAGCAAATGTGTTTTTGTTTATTAGTAGCACTAGTGCATACTCAGCATGGCCCGACTATATGGTTCAGGTGATTTTCTATAACAAATCTGGTAAGTGTGCTAGACGGGTAGCCCCACGAATTCAAAAGTAATCTGAGGTGATCAGAAACAAATCACAATGAAATAATGGAGGACATAGCAATGTTGAATATTCTGCTTAGTTGGTGGTTTTTTTGTCAGTCTCTGAGAAATAAAGACTTGGAAAGTATGTAGGCAGCAAGGCTTACAGGGATGACTCCACCCCCTTGTCAATCAGTGACCAACAGTCTCTAATGGTGTGTTTTTGGTCCAGCTTTGTACTTTTGGTACTACTTCAAAGCTGGTGCTAAAAAAATGTGTGGCAACCTAATATCCATACTAGCACTCGATTCCATTCACACCTACTCAGCATGACTCAAATGGATTTAGTTTGGTTCAATGGCATTTTAATCAGGGACGTGATGCCGGTGACTGCCAGTCACTGATTAGCTAGTGGATGGAGTCACTGGTTGTGCCAGAGTCTTTTGCCTACTCCTTGTTCAACATCACCACCATGTCCGCCACTGTTGCGTTGTTTTTCTGTCACGCATCATCTTATGCTACTTTTGTAGTTTTGTGTACACCCCCTTTGGTAATCCCCTCCCAACTAGAGCTGCTTCTCAGTTACAATGGAATGCCACCCAAGCCATGCCGAGTTGGGTTAAATCAAGTGGAGCCGTGCTAAGTAGGTACTAGTGGAAGAGGCCCATGGTTCTGTTTTGCGGTCACTTTTAGGAAGTTGAGGAACAGTAGAAACTTTCCACCCCACACTCTGAAGACCATTTGGATTTCCCTCCTTGTTTGAGCAAAATAATCTCTTGTCAAAAAAAAGTTTGAGTGCTGTAAGCTATTCACACAATTATTCAGACAAAAATACAAAAAGTGGCAAACCCTAACCCAAGAAAACAAAGAACTACACCAATATTTCTTGGTCAAGACTACTTTGAAGCAAGCTTTAGTAGTTGGTTTGTTCCATGGACAATCATATCTCCTTTAAACCCCAAAAAGGACACCATCCGTCTTATTCTGTGGATAAATCTGAGAAGATTTATGGTGTCACCCAGACTCTCCAGTGGTATCACATGGGTTCTTCCATATGACACCATTGGGAAGTCTGGCTCCTCGTAAGGAAAATGAAAAATGTAGGATAGGGTTAAGACTTCTGCTTACTGCTGAATGTTGTTAGGTTGGTAGGTGGTTGTATGAGAGTAGATAGAACCAAGCAGTGTTGGGCAAGTTACTTCAAAACTGTAATGCATTATGTATTACTTGTTACCCTCATTTTAAAGTAATTCATTACATTACAATATTACTGATTTTAAAATGTAAGGCATTACACTACTTTTGCATTACTCTAAGTTACTTTCAACAAAGCAACTTCAGTATGAGTTTGGTAATCTGATGCCCGGTGAACTAATGACACATCCGGTGGAAGGTGATGTGGTGTCTGAGCTAGGATTGCTGTTAAAAAGAGATCTTTAGAAGGATTGTTTATGTAATAAATGCAACAACAAACTGTACTCTCAGCACGCTGCCATCTTAGATTAACTGAGCGGCGAGTGAGGTGGTGGGGGCTCCAAGTCTATTTAGCCTTTGTCTCCAAATGCCTTGATACAGCCCTGGATGTGGGACTGACTTCTGGTGTGATCTGATTCTATCACATGTATAAACATTAAATGCTTATATATTATTGCTTTTCACTGGTAAAAATGAGTATTGGGGATACATTTACCTACATTTTTTTTCTTTTCAAGCACTTTGTTTTGTTTTCTTGATTTTAGTTGAATAATTTCTCGCCCTTTCTCTCTCTAACCTTCCTGCATGCTGCATGTTTTCTCCGTCTTCCAGAAAAACTGTTTCCTAGATTTCCTACTTTCTAACGATCAGCCAAAGGGATCTTCACATGCACGGCGCTCCAGCAGCAATGAGTTGAAATCACCGGAGCCCAGATTAACTCAGCTGCTGCAAAGCACGTCAGAAAAGTACAGAATACCAGAGAACATGCGCTGATATGAACGATCGCAGGTTAATTTTTTTGTTTTAGTGGAGCGATTTTGTGAATGTTACAGCGGCCACGCGCAGGATGCAGCTGGAGTATTTGAGCCGTTACCGCTGCGTCCTCTCTGCCCGCAAAGCTGAGTCCATAAATGACGTAATATATGCAGATACTGGAACTTTTTTCGGGTTTCCCACAATTTGAATTTTTAAGGAACACATCTTGATTCTGGGTTTAAAAATGCATTGTAATTACCGCGTTACTGACAATTGTACCGAGTAAATATTACCATTTTCTTTCCCTGCAAAAAGCAATGCATTACAGTAATTAATTACTTTTGTACCGCGTTACTCCCAACACTGGAACCAAGGACGTAATTTTCACTTAAGAAGTGGGGGGTGGGGGGTGGCTTTACAGTATGTTCTAATGGGAAACAGGCTTCAACACAAACTGTTGTTTTCCGCTTGGTCCTAGAGCTCAACCAGTGTCAATTTAATATAGCGTAATATTGTTTTTGGATGGTAAAAAGTGCAGGGGTCAAAACTTGACTTTGGAAAAAGTGGGGGGGACATGTCCCCCCCCCCCCAAAAAAAAAAATTACGTCCATGGATAGAAGTATAAACACAGATATTTGGTCTTTTGTCAGACTGAACGGTTGCTATGAAGCTCTGGAAGGAGGGAACACTACGGAGGCCTTGATCGACTTCACTGGTGGGGTTTCAGAGTCCCTCAGTCTGGACTGTAAGGCCCTCAGCCTCCACAAAGATCAGAGGAAGTCTCTTTTCCAGACATTGTCAAAGATTCATGAGCACAAATCCCTCATCACCTGCTCCATACGGGTAACAATCTGTTTATTCTAAACATCATGTTTGGACACTTCTGAATTATTAGTTGAATCATTTTTATTTTATTTTATGCTTGTCAGCCTGCTGAGGGGGAGACTGTGGAGTCTGTGTTGGACTGTGGACTTGTGCGGGGACACGCCTACGGGATCACAGCGGTGAGGAAGGTGAGGCTGGTGGAGAGGCTGCTGAGGACGGGTGGGTCGCCTCGAGTCTTCCTGGTGCGGATGAGGAACCCATGGGGCACCGCGGACTGGAGGGGTGCCTGGAGTCAGGGGTGAGGATGTTTTGAACCATTTCTTCTGGCTTCTGCTATTTTGTAGGCACTCGAGGAATAAAAGCCTCAGCTGACAATGTGCTTTAAAACATTTTACAACACTGTTGCAACCTTTCTGGACAATTTCAGACATTTTACAACAGTCAGGGAAATGTTTTACAAGAGAACATCTGGTGTTTACATTACCAAGGTCTGAGAAACTTTCAAAATAGCCACAATGGACCAGTGAAGGGTTTCCACAAGTTCATGCACTACTTGTTTTTTACGCTGTCTCTTGTTGTTGTGCACCCTCTGCAGGTCAAAGCAGTGGCAGGAGTTGAGTCGAGCAGAGAGGGAGAAGATGGGGCTCATTGTTCGGGACGTTGGGGAGTTCTGGTGCAACTTTTTGAAATCGTTAGAAATAAATAACTTTTTTGACGTGGTCTGCATTTTCTGGTTGAATTCATGCCGGTTTGTTCTCACTCAGGATGAATTTCCAGGACTTCTGTCGTTACTTCACAGACGTGGTGGTGTGCCGGCGAGTGGAGAGGAATCTTCTATGGCCCAGATCACACTGGAGGGAGGTGAAGTGCTTTGGAGAGTGGGCCCTGGCTCCTGCTCACCCTGGGGCATCTCCCTCCACCACTCACTACAGTAACACCCCTCTGACTCGGAGCAGAAACAATGTGAGGCCTGAAGGGACCGGGCAGCGGGGTAGTCGGAAAGAGACCCAGCTTGGAGAAACCCATCTGGAGAGTCGAAAGGGAGGAGACTGTGATGCTGGTAAGATTAGGAAAAAAAGGACCAAGGATTCAGAAGAGAGTGGAGATTGGGAGGTGTCGATGGACAGGAGAAGTCGATGTGGAGGATGCATCAACCACAGGGACACCTTTTTATACAATCCACAGGTAAGGTTAAAGGAGAAACTTCTCTAAATGAGCTCCAGAATTAATAAACCCTTTGTTTGTAGTTTATGTTTGAGGTGCAAAACAAAGAGGAGGAGTTGCTGATCTGTCTACAGCAGGAGGACAGGAGGATCTGGAAGAAAAATGGAGGAGGAGAGAACCTCCCAATTGGCTTTGAGGTGCTGAAGGTGGGTTGAGCGGAACACAACGAGACACCTTTCCGCTGATCTTCAAACCTTTAAATATGATAATCTGAAGGTGGAGGCGAACCGCAGCAGCCGGGTGCAGCGTGTGGTGGAGCAGGCAGCCAGCTCCATCTACATGGACTCTCGTAGCGTGACTCTGAGGAGAACGCTAGCGCCAGGTCGTTACGTCGTGCTGCCCACCACCTTCCTCCCGGGCTCCATTGGGCGTTTCCTGCTTCGCCTCTTCTCCCACTCTCACATCAAACTCAGGTGTCTGTTTCATTTCATTTTATTCACAGAACTCACTGGATTACCCAGTTACTGCTTCACAAATGGCACGGTTCTTTGAAATGGACTCCACTCAAAAAACACTTAAGTCACCCACCCAAAAACTCACCCACATCATCAGCAACACCTCTGAACCTCTAAACAGTTTCCCCACCAGGCAGAACACATCACATGCCTCAGCTTTCACCTTAATCGTAAACAAAACCAAGAATGGGACCAGTCAGCATAACTACAGTATAACACAGAAAATCGCTAAAGCATGATAACAGTTTATCTTTAAGATCCTTTATAAAAAAAATTTAAAGATGGTAGTTCCTTTACAAGGTGAAGCCCTATCTCCCTCCAAATATGTTTGGACAGGTGATCCACCTTTTTATTTTGTGTAGACTGAATTACTGCAACTCTGTGTACTGTGCCCTTGAGCAGTCATCCATTCACCGGCTTCAACTGGTCCAGAATGCGGCTGCTCGCTTCTTAACGCACACAGGGCGTAGGGAGCACATCTCTCCAGTGCTGGAGTCTCTACACTGGCTTCCTGTATTTTATAGGATCCATTTTAAACTTCTGTTGTTTTGAAGTCGTTGAATGGTTCTGCTCCTTCTTATTTATCGGAGCTTTTAGAAAATCATGCTTCTCTAAAAGCCTTGAGGTCTGGTAATCAGAATTTCCTGGTGGTCCCAAGAATTAAGCTGAAGGCCCGTGGTGATCGGGCTTTTCCTCTGGCTGGTCCCAGAATGTGGAATAGACTCCCTGCAAATATTAGGGCTGCTCAGATGCTGAGTCATTTAAAAACTTTGTTAAAGATGTATTTTTATGAACTGGCTTTTAATTATTAACAAATTAGGTATTTTCTACCTCTTTTAGCTATCGTTTTGAGTCTTTCCATTATTTTTTTTTTATTATTTCTGATGAACATTTCTTGGGAACAGGCATTTTATCAAGGATTGTCCTGAATATTTTGTCTTACATATTTTAACTTTGTTTTTATAATTGATTTTAGTCGCTTAGTTTTACTTTTTTTACATGCTATGTTGTGATCTGCTTTTTTATGCTGTGAAGCACTTTGGTCAACAACAGCTGTTTAAAATGTGCTATATAAATAAAATTGACCTTGACCTTATAAAATGTTTAATCTTATTCCATATCTCCGCACACTTGCATGCCAAACTAAAGCGAGTACACTTCTTCTGTATGTTTTTTTCCTTCTTAGAAAATCAAAATGACCACTGCGGCATATTGGTAGAAAAATGGTTGTAACTCAGTTTTAAAGGAATGTATCTAAAATACATTGTTGTGGGAACTCCTAGACAGCTGTTACTAGATATACTTTCATTATATTTATAACCAAGTTAAAGATGGCCACCACAGTTTCATATTGGTAAACACAAAAGGTGTTACAGGTGCTGGCCAGTAAATTAGAATATCATCAAAAGGTTGAAAATATTTCAGTAATTCCATTCAAAACGTGAAACTTGTACATTATATTCATGCAATGCACACAGACCAATGTATTTCCAATGTTCATTACATTTAAATTTGATATTCATAAGTGACAACTAATGAAAACTCCAAATTTGGTATCTCAAAAAATTAGAATATTCTGAAAAGGCTGAATATAGAAGACACCTGCTGCCACTCTAATCAGCTGATTTACTCAAAACACCTGCAAAGGCCTTTAAAAGGTCCCTCAGTCTTGTTCTGAAGGCACCACAATCATGGGGAAGACTTCTGACTTAACAGCTGTCCAAAAGACAATCATTGACACCTTGCACAAGGAGGGCAAGACACAAAAGGTGATTGCTAAAGAAGCTGGCTGTTCGCAGAGCTTTGTGTCCAAGCACATTAACAGACAGGCGAAGGGACGGAAAAAATGTGGTAGAAAAAAGTGTACAAGCTCTAGGGATAACCGCACCCTGCAGAGAATTGTGACGACAAACCCATTCAAAAATGTGGGGGAGATCCACAAAGAGTGGACTGCAGCTGGAGTCAGCGCTTCAAGAACCACCACGAGGAGACTCATGAAAGACATGGGATTCAGGTGTCGCATTCCGTGTGTCAAGCCACTCTTGAACAAGAAACAGCGCAAGAAGCGTCTCGCCTGGGCCAAGGACAAAAAGGACTGGACTGATGCTGAGTGGTCCAAAGTTATGTTTTCTGATGAAAGCAAGTTCTGCATTTCCTTTGGAAATCAAGGACCCAGAGTCTGGAGGAAGAGCGTAGAAGCACAGAATCCACGTTGCATGAGGTCCAGTGTAAAGTTTCCACCGTCAGTGATGGTGTGGGGTGCCATGTCATCTGCCGGTGTTGGCCCACTCTGTTTCCTGAGGTCCAGGGTCAATGCAGCCGTCTACCAGGAAGTTTTAGAGCACTTCATGCTTCCTGCTGCTGACCAACTTTATGGGGATGCAGACTTCACCTTTCAACAGGACTTGGCACCTGCACACAGTGCCAAAACCACCAGCACCTGGTTCAAGGACCATGGTATCCCTGTCCTTGATTGGCCAGCAAACTCGCCTGACCTTAACCCCATAGAAAATCTATGGGGTATTGTGAAGCGGAGGATGCAATACGCTAGACCCAACAATGCAGAGGAGCTGAAGACGACTATCAGAGCAACCTGGGCTCTCATAACACCTGAGCAGTGCCACAGACTGATCGAGTCCATGCCACGCCGCATTACTGCAGTTATTGAGGCAAAAGGAGCCCCGACTAAGTATTGAGTGCTATACATGCACATTCTTTTCATGTTCATTCTTTTCAGTTGGCCAACATTAGAGAAACAAACATTTTTTCATTGGCCTTTAGAATATTCTAATTTTCTGAGATACCAGATTTGATGTTTTCATTGGTTGTCACCTATAAATATCACAATTAAACGTAATAAACATCGGAAATACATTGGTCTGTGTGCATTGCATGAATATAATGTACAAGTTTCACGTTTTGAATGGACTTACTGAAATATTTTCAACCTTTTGATGATATTCTAATTTACTGGCCAGCACCTGTATATTTCAGTCAAAACGACCAATACTGAGTTGAAACTTGGTGTTGTAGTAGCCGAGAGTTGTCCACCACACTTACTTTGGAAACAAACATTTTTGTTTGTTCTTGGGGAAAAAAGCCTGCTGAAAAGTGAAAGTTTAGTTGAAGCTTGCAGAGGTGTGGATTCGAGTCACACGACTTGGACTCGAGTCATTATTTGAATGACTTCTGACTTGACTTGATGAAATCTATTAAAACTTATGACTTGACTCGGACTTGAACGCCATTGACTTGCGACTTGAATCGACTTGCATTTGTTGACTTGATGATGACGTGAGCTTATTTGATATTTTAGCACAAAGTGGCATGACATGGACAAAAATCCTAAATCCGTCTTCGTTCTGGGTTTGATCTTGTACGGCTAAATGCAGCAACACTTTGTTTTTAATCGGTTTCGTTTGCACTTTCTGCTTGTTTGAGCAAAAAAAAATGAAGCTTTAAGAAGATTTAATTCTGGAATTTATTTATTTTCACTGTCATTGAATTGAAGTTAGACAGATGACTTGATTATGACTTGAAAATTCAAAGTTAAGGACTTTGGACTCGACTTGGACTTGGTTGTCTTTGACTTAGACTTGACTCGAGACTTGGCTGGAAATACTTGTGACTTGCAAAGCAGTGACATGGTCCCACCTCTGGAAGTTTGTCTTGTGAACCACTGGATGGATTTATTTTTAATTTTCAGAAGGTGCCACATTAAACTGATATTAGAAAATGCAGACAGGACTCTAACTCAGTCTGTTTGACAGTTTTTTAGCTGTTGAGTTGTGGTGGCTAAGACTTACCCTCTTCACACACTCAGAGATACATTTTGTAGCTGTTGGGGGTCAACCCCATTTGTCAACTTTTGGTGATAATTCATGGCCACCACAACAAATCTTAGCAAAAGAAAAGATTGAGTTAAATTAATCTTGGGCTTTTAATTTTCCTTTGTTCTTCCTTAAAGGGAACTGAAAGATGAGGTTCCGTGTCCTTCATTGCTCCAGTGTGTCCTACCTCAGCCCATAGTGGTGACCACGGTCCATCTCCGCAGGGCATCTGGACTCAGACCTCCCAAAGAAACAGGTGGTTCAGCTATCTTGTGCTGCTAGTTTTTACAGTCTTTCTGTAAATGTCTTATTCATTTTTGAATCACTGTATTTGGTGTTACAACCCCTAGCTCCAGATGTTTACGCCGTGTTGCGGTGTGAGAGCGACACCATCAGGACAAAAGTGTTCCGAGAGGAAAGGAACCCAGAGTTCAACCTCAGGACCATCTTCTACAGACGATATCCCGACATTCACATCTCTGTAGAGGTTTGACATCGTCACATAACATAAACTTAAAATGAAATCTCACTCAGTATTAGTCTGACTGTGTTTATGTGTGTAGTTGTGGAGCAGAGGTCTGCTGTGGGACTCTCTGATCGGAACGGCCCAACTCCAGACGTCAGAGTCAGAAAGGAGTCGGAAACTCGTGATTGATCTGCGAGGCGAGTCACTGCATTCAGGATCCAGATGCTGTATCCATGTTGAAACATCTTCCAGCATCTGTCTCACAGACTTGTGACAGGTCGACATGGTAGCAAGAGGAGCTGATGGACAAACTGCTGAATGGATGAAGAAATAACTTGGCTTAAAGTGGCTATGTGTATTTTTTGCCTTTAATCTCTGGAAAAATCCAATGGAATGTTGTAGAAAATGAATAAAATGATGTCGATCCATCCATTCATCCATCAATCCATTTTCATCCGCTTATCCGGAGTCGGGTCGCAGGACCAGTAACCTAAGGCGAGAGGCCCAGACTTCCCTCTCCCCAGCCACTTGGGCCAGCTCCTCCGGAGGAATCTCAAGGCGTTCCCTGGCCAGCTGAGAGACATAGTCCCTCCACCGTGTCCTGGGTCTACCTTTAGGCCTCCTCCCAGTTGGACGTGCCCAGAAAACCTCACCAGGGAGGCGTCCAGGAGGCATCCTGACCAGATGCCCGAGCCACCTCAACTGGCTCCTCTCGATGTGGAGGAGCAGTGGGTCTACTCCGAGCCCCTCTCGAATGATCAAGCTTCTCACCCTATCTCTAAGTGAGAGCCCAGCCACTCTTCGGAGAAAACTCATTTCGGCCGCTTGTATCCGCGATCTCGTTCTTTTGGTCACTACCCAAAGCTCATGATCATAGGTGAGGGTAGGAACGTAGATCGACCGGTAAATCGAGAGCTTCACCTTCTGACTCAGCTCTCTCTTCACTACGACAGACCGGTACAACGCCCGCATCACTGCAGATGCAGCACCGATCCGCCTATCGATCTCACGCTCCAGTTTTCCCTCACTCGTGAACAAGACCCTGAGATATTTAAACTCCTCCACTTGGGGCAGGACCTCATCCCTGACCCGGAGAAGGCATTCTACCCTTCTCCGATTTAAGACTATGGTCTCAGATTTAGAGGAGCTGATTCTCATCCCAGCTGCTTCACACTCAGCTGCGAACTGCTCCAGCGAAAGCTGAACATCACGTTCTGATGAAGCCAACAGGACCATATCATCTGCAAAAAGCAGAGACCTGATCCTCAGGCCACCAAAACAGATGCCCTCCACACCTTGGCTGCACCTAGAAATCCTGTCCATTAAGGTTATGAACAGAATCAGTGACAAAGGGCAGCCTTGGCTGGTGTCCAACTCTCACTGGAACGAGCATGACTTACTGCTGGCAATGCGGACCAAGCTCTGACACCGGTCATACAGGGACCTAACAGCCCATATCAGAGGGCCTGGTGCCCCATACTCCCGGAGTACCCCCAAGGCCCCCCGAGGGATGCGGTCAAACGCCTTCTCCAAATCCACGAAACATGTAGACTGGTTTGGGCAAATTCCCACGCACCCTCCCAGTCTTCCTTGAAATGGTTGCAAAAGAAATCTCTTCCAATTCCAGCTGGTTATTTTCAAATCCCTGCTCCACAGGGCCTGACTCTGGCTGGCAATAAGAAAATATAAACATGTCTGCATGTGTCTGACTACCAAAATAATGGCGGAGACTCGACTTCCGATTGTTTCTTTGATTCGGGCTATTTGGAAAGCACTATCTACTGGAGAACCATAGGCATTGCAGGGAAAAATGACAATTAATTTAGGTTTAATGACACCATGTACAATAATTCCGGCGGGCTGGATTAAAAACCCCAACGGGCCGTATTTGGCCCATGGGCCGTGGTATGCCCATGCCTGCTCTAGGCCCGGAATTGAATCCCCCTAGCCTAGATGATTGGCTGGATATACGACTTTTCCATGTTACCACATTCAAAAACATTTAGGCAGTAAGAAACATGAATATATATATATCGATAACAAAATTGCTAAACTCTTACCAAACATATTTGAAAGAACAGAATCGAAAAAGAGATGCCATGTATTTTGGCCAAGTAGTATTGCCGTAGTATGATGACGTCATCAACAGGCACAAGACCCCGAGCACATCCGGAAACTACAGCGACAGAAAACTAGCATCAGCGTTGCATTCTCTCAATGGAATTAATTGAAGGACCATCAAAGTCTGAGGAGTCACGCCGAGGTCACATGCTTTCTGCTCCACAGGTAACAACATTTATCGTAATGTTTTTATAGACTAATAACAGTCATGGAGATATGGTGTAAAACTACCCTGAAATGTATGTATGTACTGCCCCCTAGCGGCAGGAAACTACACACTGACACTTTAAAAAGTGATTTAAAAACACTCATTTTTATTTCATTAGTTTTTTCAATTGAAATGTTGTTCTGTAATTGACTGTTATTTATAAAATATGAATTGTTAAAATACTTTTTTCGTTTTCATATAATTAAATAATTAATGTTGCACAATTTGTCTGCCCTTTATTAAAACTAAACATCAGGTTTTTTTTAATTGAAGGGGTCTTGAATGTTTTGTTTTAGTTCAAGATTTAACCTTTATGTGCCTTACATTGACTTTTACAGTGTGTTTCAGTGTAAAGGTTTTAAATTCCAGTTAGCTTCTTGCTCCACCTCAATTTGGAGGTAAACCACACTTTGATTTTGACCTCACTATTTCTACAAACTGAGGCACATCAGGAAGCTTTTACAACAGATTAGGCGATTATTATTTGCAACCTTTACCCCCCACTCTTCCAAACAAGAAAAGGAAATGCCAGAAATTTACAACTTTTTTAATGTACTTTTTAAGAATTCTTTCAATTGTCCACCTGAAAGGACAAAAGCAGCTTTTTAATGGCTGTCAATGTCCACAAAAGGATCAAATGTTTGCCATATTTGTAGTATTTGGTTAATAAGCATGAGAATAGCTGATGTTACTCACAACACAATGCAAACTTTTGATAAGAGACACTTTTATTTCACTTATCTGCTCTTTGGGAGTATCAGGAACTGCTTTATTAGTGGATGTGACATGAGGTTTTAAAGAGCTGCAGGTGTGTATGCAGCCAGCATTTTCTGCGCAGGGACTTTATTAGCAACTAAAGTATCTCTGCCTGCTTCCATTGCTCAGAAGGGAAGCTACGATGCTGTTAGTGTTGTGAGGTTTGTTGACGTGGTGTGTGCGTCAGGATGTGGGAAACGAAGTCCCGCCTATACTCACCTGCACATGCAGTTGTTTGAAGCATGAAATAATAAATTACAGCGAAATGTATTAAAAAAAGTATTTTTTAAATTCTGGAGTAGCTTGTCAGTCATCCAGGACATGATCATCTTGAGTGTTGTAAATGAAGGCACAGCGTTTCATCCCATAGGCTTCTTTCATTCTGATGAAGCGTTTGCTCCTTACCTTCTGCTTTTAAACACATATTTCTTCTCTCATGTGTACAAGAAAATGCGATCATTTCTGCCCATTAAATCTGACTTGGACCACAATTTCATTTAAATTTATTTATTTTAATTATTTATTTATAAATTAATAAATTTGTTTAACTTCGCTTTTGGGAAGATGGGTTAAATTTTATTTTATTTTTGCCCTTTTTTGTTTATTCTCCAATTCATGATGCAAAAACGCTTCATGTGAAATTACAATTGGGTTTATTTTAAAGTAAATCAAATGAAAACTGTTGTTTTCTACAAATATGACCTCAAGGTAGCGCAAACATGAAAATGGGTATGTGAGTTTGGTGAACCACGTGTGTTTTGGAGAGCAGAAAAACGAGAAATGAGCATAAACTGTTATTAACACGTGTTTTGACAATCCGCTGATTTGTGAACGCGCGACTTCTCCCTGCGCGCGCTCCCGAGAGGTGGCGGCAGGGCGGTAGTGGAAGGCGCGGCTGCTCTGCTCAGACGCTCCGGACTGAACGCTTTAGTAAAGGTACGTTTTCTTCACTCAGGATGTTTTGTTTTATGTCTGAGCATTAATCTCCTCCGGCCTCTGTTGGCGGACACTCCGAGCGGCTGTGTCCGAACACGGAGCCATTTAAACCGGACAGACACCGAGTCTGTGTGGGGCGGGCTGGCGGGGATTCACAAACCCAAAGAAATAAAGGCGAGGCCGCAGCTTCATTTTGCCCTAACCCTGGTTCGTCCGGTTTCTAAGTGTGAGACACTGATTTATTACTATAGGCTCGGTTCGTTCGGGGTATTTATGGATAAGGTCGGGAGGTGGATTAGTTTGTTTCGTGGGAAAAGTTCCTTCATCTTCACGTGTTGCTGTTTTGATTCACTCCCAGATCAAACTTTTCTTAAACCTTTATAAATAAAACCAAACATCCTTTAATGTTACATTTTGTTGACCATGTTTAGACAGTTTTAGAGGTTTCGGTGGGAATGCAGTTAGTTAGTTAGTTAGTTAGGTAGGGGTTTTCCACTAAACTGGTTCCAGAGCCCTTGCTTTGCCGGTGTCCACTCACCATAAATTATGTTTATTTAGCAGAAGCTTTTGTCCAAAGCGACTTACAAGTGATGCTGAAGCCAGCAGGTTACCCTTGAGGCTAACAACAAACACTAATCAGTCAATCCTAGGTGGCAGTGAGGCAGCATAATGATTCCTAAAGGAAAGACGTAATGGACAGTAGAGTGGGGGACGGGTGCAGGGAGGGTCCTAGTTTGAAGTTGTTCTCTGAAGAGGGTCTTCAGGAGTTTCTTGAAAAAAAATCGACAAGTCTGTTCATGTCTTGATGGTGTGCTGTGCTCTAAACAACATGCTCAGAGGTTTTTAGAAGATCTGGTCACCAGTTCTGGTCGTCTTAGCTGCACTTTGCAACATAAGTCTCTACAGGATCCTGGACGAGCCCCCAATTATTACCAGCACCAGACCTAGGGGTAATCTGGACAGGCAGGACACGGCACACAGACTAGAAGTACTGTGTGGCCAAGTTTACTATTCTGTGTAAGATATCAGGTGGGTATTCCTTATTACAGCTTATCCCCATCTGACAACACGGTTAGTCAGACAGGCATACGCTGTCGAATCATAAGCTGTAGGACACTTTGATGGGTCAGTTTAGCCGTCAGATCATCATACACTTTGTTTAGAACAAATGTATGATACCTTGATGGGTGGGTTTACCAGTCAGATTTGTTTTAGTGAACGTAGGGCACCCTAATGTGTTAATTTTACCAGTCAGATCTGCATGAACATCGTTTTAAACAACGGTATGACTTTGCCATCTGTATGCTGAACTGACGGCTCCTCAGAATGTAGCGAAGGTGCAGATGAATGGCATGTGCGCGCATAAGCTGCACGTATGCTGCTCTGATATGTATGGTGCTGTCAGAACACCCTGTTCTAAGCTGGTTCTTTCTAAGAACCGGTGTTCCGACTATCCGTGCTACTTTGGGGAAATGAGCAGACCGACTACTACGTCACAGGCTGTTTACCTGAAGGGGACGCACCACCTCTGGAAGTTGTTATATTACTGACAGTTAGCTTGTAAATGGCTTGTAAAATACCGTTATTATACTATACACAAGGAATTTCTCCCATTTACAGTCGTTCACGGAATCATGACGAACAGCCTTTTTCATAAATTAAAACACTGTATATTTTTACTAATAATTATACTACAGTCCTGTATTTTTGAGTAATATCACCCATTTAAAATAAACCGTGCTATATAAGTGTGTTTCTATACTGTAAACAGGAGCAAAACTGTCGTAACACGCTACGGTAGGAATAGGGTTGGGCATCGTTTGATTTTGAATGATTCAGATTCTAGGGCTGGGCAATAAATCGAAAATTTATTGTTATCGAAATTTCTTAAACTTATCGGGATAGTTTTTCCCATGTCAATTAATTTGATAATAAAATAATGAAAAGATGTGTGTAGGTTAGCAACATTCATGAAGCTGTACCACCTTGAGTTACGAAAAAACATAATACATGTGATAGCCCCAACTAGTGGACAACTTGTTTCTGCGCATACCTGTAGTTATCATCCATTTATTGTTATTGAAGTAAAATCCTCAATATATTGTGATATTGATTTTAGGCCATATCGCCCAACCCTATCCGATTCCAAATCCTCATTTCGATTCCGGTTCCTATCGATTCCCGATTCCGATTCTTTCAAGACATGACATGCTTTACATGAGCTAGCTGACCACATGTCCTACTTGATGAAATAATCTTAACTTCAACATGAACTTTAATTCTATGAACAATAACATCACCTTCATTTAGACAAAAACCTGTTTTGGAGGAAAAAAAGAAACAGACTTGCAGCACAGCCAGTGTGTTTGCTTCTGACCACAACCAAAGTCTGGAAGAAGCCTCTGGGATGAGAGGCTAAATGTCTCCAACATATCCAGAAACGTCCAGCTGTCTTCAGCTAAAACTCTCAGGATGATCATGTCCAGGATGACTGAGAACTACACCTCCATGCTGCAGCCTCGTTCAGTCAGAACAGGAAGTGAAACTTAAACGTAGCTGCTGTCAGTAACAATCTAACAGACTTTAAACATTAAAACTCTCAACAGAAATAGTTCAGAAAGGAAATTTCACAACTTTGTGTATGATTTATTATTATTATTATTATTTATTGTGGCAGAAGCTGGTGTGGTCCCCCACAGAGAAGCTTCTCTAGTATGATGACTTCAATTATTCTACAGGTTATTGTTCAGCCTTCTGACGCTCACACACACACACACACACACACACACACACACACACACACACACACACACACACACACACACACACACACGAGTGTTGGTGAGCGGCTGCGTCTGACTGCTGACGCTCCGTGTGTGTTTTTATTTCTGCAGTGAGACAAACTCACCTCACACCATCCAGAGTTTGTTCTTTAAAGCTTCTATCAAATCCACCGTGTTGACGTATTTAACAAGTTTCCTCTACGCTGCAGGAGTTAAAGTTTACATCACGGAGTAAAAGTTCGGCAGACGTGTTTGTTTATATCTGGGTGGGGGAGGGGGGACTCGTGCTGCACACAGACAGCTGGTGTGATCAGCTCTGGAAAGCGTTGATCACAATTTGCAGATCACGTTTATTTTTCACGGAAATCGGCCGCAGATTCCTCTTCTGTCGGCATTCTAGGAATCAAAAAAAATCTTTGAACGATTCCGGGAAAAACTAACAGTTGGAACCGGTTCCAATAGATGCTCAACCCTAGGTATTTGACCAGGAAGCACGGATAGTCAAAACACTGGATCCCTTTTCACAGACTTGGCTGAGAGAGTGCTCTCACGATGTCATTCAAACGTCGGGACACACCTCTGTACGCCCACACGAGGACCAAGCATGTACTTATTGACTTTTGATTTACAACATGTAAAAACGAATCTACAGTAATTGTATAACTTATTAGATCAAATAAGAATAGAAAATCCCTTTATTGTCCTTCAGTGGGGACATGTTTGGCATAACGGCATCAATTAGATTCACAACAGGAGCAAAATAGTAGAGTAAAAACAGAGAATAAGAGTAATTAGACATTAAAGAGTAAAAATACAAGAAAAAGTAGCACAGAGGTACCTAAAACTTCTAAAACACTCAAGTATTCAAAGTTCAAAAAGCTGAATATATATATTTTAGAAATAAAAATAAAGAAATATGGAAGTACCTTGTGGATTTAAAAAAACGATGGTGTACTATTACAGAGAATGGTAAACATGACTGGAAAATGTGCAAATACACTAATCAATGTGTGCATGTAGAATGACAACATAAAATGTGCAAATTACAAAAACAGCAGGGATGCAAAAACCTTATCTGCAGGGGTTTTGTGAAAAGCGGTTCAGGGTCCTGGCATCTAATGCTAAAGCGCTATCAGCACATGTACTCTGCACAGTAAACATCTCCAATCCAATCCAATCCAATTTTATTTATAAAGCGCATTCACAAGGCATTACAACCAAACAAGGCGCTGTACACTAAAAATGTTGGGTAATTAAACCAGCGATGTACAAACATGTCGAACACAGATAAAAGATAAAAAGGAAATACAAAAAAATTCCCAAAAACTAACAGCTAAGAATCAATAAGACACAGGGAGAATAAAAAATTAGAAAAACATTTTAAAAAAGAACCTCAATAGTACGAAAGTTGATATTGAAACGTCCATTTTTAAACAATGCAGATGTAAGTAATGGTCATAATTATGTTGTATAAGCTAAGTTTAAGTAGTGAGTTTTCAAGCATGATTTAAAAATGCTAGCTGTTGGTGCTTGCCTCACTAGCAGTGGTAATGCGTTCCACAGCTTCGGTGCACAGACAGAGAAAGCCCTTTCTCCACGGCTTTTTAAGCGTGCATTCGGAACAGCTAGGAGGAGCTTATCTTCAGACCTGAGAGCACGCGGCGGGTTGTAGAAATGGACCAGTTCACACAGATATGGAGGAGCTTGATGGTTCAAGGATTTGTAAGTCAGAAGCATAATTTTGAAATTTATCCTAAACTGCACGGGCAACCAGTGGAGAGATTTCAGAATCGGAGAAATGTGTTGTCTTCTGTCAGCTCCAGTCAGCAACCTAGCTGCTGAATTCTGGACCAGCTGAAGTCTAGAAAGAGCTGCTTTACTGATGCCATATAAGCAGGAGTTACAGTAATCCAGCCTTGAAGTGATGAAAGTGTGGACCACGGATTTCAGAAGACGGACACTCAGGATGTGCTTTAGTTTCGAGATGCGTCTTAGTTCAAGTGGTGCTCGCTGCAGAACCACAAAGGCGGAGCTGCACCAGAAGGTGGAGCTGCACCAGAGTCAGCCCCGCCCATTCCAGAATCAGCCCTGCCCATTCCATCAGAGTCAGTCCAATTCCTTCCAGTTGTCAGACTTGATAGCATTCTGGAACCAAAGAGGGTGTTATAGCTAAAAAATGCAAGATTGAGGATGGAGTTGAGAAGTTAATTGAACAGT